GTTCCTCGCACTCAAGCCGACGAAGAGCCTTGTGACGCGTTGGGTAGCGGTTGGGAGGCGAGTGTCGAGCTGTGTCTCCAGCTCCAGCCCCCTCTCAACTAGCACCTCTAGTGCCATCACCTACAACTCCAGATCCAACACCCCCAGATGTAGCACCTCCACTGCCTGTACCCCCAACTCCAACACCCCCAGAACTAGCAACTCCAGTGCCAGCACCTCCAGCTCCAGCACCCCCAGAACTAGCACCTCCAGAGTCAGTACCCCCAACTCCAGCACCCTGAGAACCAGCACCTCCAGCGCCCGTGCCTCCAGCACCAACACCCTCATAGCCCACTACAACCTGTCACGGTAGTGCCGAAGGCTGCTGCGGTGACTGCAAGGACGATTGTGGAGAAGGAGGCGACACCTGACGTGCTACCGATGAGCAGGGGTAGTGTGAGACTAACCTGACGGGACCGGACCTGGGTGAGGGGGGTACCGGAGGAACAGGACCAGGCGGAGGAGTGGAAGCTAGAAAGAGGGGAGGGGGGAGAACCGGGAGACCACGGTTGGGGTAGCGGGCGTTGTAGGACACAGACTCGTCAAAGCGGACGTTACGGGAGTTGAGGAACCGGTGGAGGGGAGGGTGGTAAAACGTGAAGTCTGGGGAGTCCACCAGGAAACCAAGGAAGACACAGAAAAGGGAGCGAGCCGAGAGCTTATCCACAGAGGTATCGCAGACATGCGCAAGGCAGCCGCAGACACGAAACTCCAACGCAACACCAGAAGACCCGGTCCAAAGACTGGTCAGTGAAGCCTCTAAACGGGAGACACGAGGCCAGAGGTTTAGCTGGTGGACGACGTAGCGAACCGCGTAAGGCCACAGAAAATGGGGCGCATGGGCATGGATCATGGAGGTGCGGGCGATCTCCATGACCAAGCCTATGCGGCGCTCAGCAACCCCATTTTTCTGTGGGGACTCTGCAAGCGTCCAGGACTGAGTGATGCCCTGCTCACGACAGAACCCGGCAAGCACGCCGGAGCGAAACTCACCCCCACGGTCAGAGTGGAGACAAAGAACACGACTACCATGCGTAGCACTAGTGGCAAGCAACCATGGGACCAACGTAGAAGTCACGTCGGACTTCTTCCGCAGGGAGAACACCGTGGTGTAGCGAGAGAAGTCGTCAACGACCACCAGGAAAAATCTCTCCCTCTTGGGCCCAGGGCAAGGAGCATGGCCCCAGACGTTTGCGTGGAGAGTCCGGAAGGGCGCGGTGGCCGGGCGAAGGGAGGAGGAGTGAGGAGTGGCGCGCAGCCTACCCTCGACGCAAGGATTGCACGACGGGGCAGGCGAAGGTGGGAGCAACGCAAACGCTAGCGGGAGGCCTGAGACAAGACGCTGACTAGACATGTGACGGAGGCGTGAGACGGGCGGGTGGCCAAAGCGTTGGTGCCACAGGACGGTCGGGTGGGTGAGAGACCGACAGGAGCACGACGCGGCAACCTGACCAGACACAGCTACCTGACCAGACGCAGTTACCTAGGGAGACGCTGTGTGCAGTGTGAAGATACCTGAGCGGGGCTCGCAGCGAAACGTGGCCAGACTAACCCCAGTGGCATCGTCCATGCAGGTCGCTATACGCTTGTGCGGAGGAAACCAGGTGCTAGCACGGAGGTCTTGAAGGGGTCCCACACCCACTAAGTTCCTGAAGAATGAGGGGATGTGAACTTCGGTGAGGACACCAGCGGGGGCAGCAGGGCACGGGAGGGTGGTAGAGCTGTGGGCAACCGCTGGTCCTAAAGTAGGATCAGCCAGTGCAATCGGAACCGGAGCAAGAAGCGGTGTGACAATCGTGTGGTCGCGGACGAAGCACTGAGACGCGCCAGAGTCGAGCGTGAAGGAGAGCGACGCGTCAGTTGCAGGTACACCTGGGCTGGTAACTACACACGCACCTAGACTGGAATCACGTCGGAGTGAGTAGCAAACAAAGCCAGAGTGTCTAGACTGGGAGTGGCGTGCAAGCCCTAAAACTACACTTTGGAGGGAGCACGAAACCCTAAGAAGTGTTCAGTACCCAAGATAGGATGCGGCCTCCAGCCGCTGCGGAAAGAGTCACCAAGAGCACGGGCCGGTAGGGGAGGCTGCAGTAGGTGCGTGTAAGGGGACAATCGCGGGTACCTGCAGCTGCAGGCACTGTAGGTGTTGCACGGGCGGTTGCTGCTATGCGTGCGGTAGATGCTGCGCGGCTGATAGTGCGCGTGGAGCTGCGCGTGTGCATGCGGCTGCTGTTGCGCGCGCGGCTGCAGGTGTGCGCGCAGCTGCGCGTGCGGCTGCTGCTACGCGCGCAACTGCTGCTGCGCGGGCAGTCGTATGTGTGCGGATGCGCGTGCAGCTGCGCGTGCAGCTGCGCGTGCGGCTGTGTGTGTGCGTGGCTGCGCGTAGGCGTGCGCGGCTGCGTGCGAGCAGCTGCGTGCGGGGCGGGACAGGTAGTGGGGCGTCACGGGACGGGACGGGTAGCGGAACGGGAAGGGGACGTGACGGGTAGCGGGACGGGACAGGATGGGCTAAGCTGGGGTCCTAGGGTCCCACCTGATGATACCATCTCAGAATATGAACACTGGAGTGAAATGACTAGCAAGTGTTGTGATACAAATGCCAACCCTAGAATGAGCTGTACTCCCTACTGTCTACCTCACTATAGCCTTCCATACAGATATATATAGTTTGACATAAATATCTCGTAGTTTGTCTCCTTGGAGTCAAGGCAGTTAGCGCAGGGCATAAAAAGCTAAAACCCTACCGGGATGCGATCCTCTGCCCACGAGCCTTGACAGTACCTCAGCAACCAAGACTCGTCCCAATGCAAATGCTTCTACCGTGCTTACAGCTTACAGGCCAAGTTTTTATTTCAAATTGATAATAAACACAATCTACTTTGTGTACAGTACACGACACTAAGTGTACCTACACGCAGCTCTCCTGGCCCTGGCACATTGGCCTACTGCATCCCATCTCTTCATGCCCTGCTGCTTGTACTGGCTATACACCTCAGGTTTGATACACTCCCTCCACACGTTGCATCCTCCAGGCTTGTGCTGCAGGCAGTTGGCAAATGAGTAACTTGGCCCGTTTCCCAAGTCCAGGTTGTATAGGCGGGTTGTGAAGCCATGCGCGTTGTTGTCCGCACACATTGCCTGCGTGAGGTCAGGTCAGGATCAAGAAACAGTCAAGGGTAAGAGATGGGGTGGTGATTAGGATAATGCGTGACTGCATTTGATTGACAGCCAGTGTTGGTGTGTGGATGGTCCTAGGTTATAATGCAGCAACACGAAAAGGAATGGGATTTAAGCTACTCTCATGCAACACAACCAGCCTGTGACAACCATACCCGTATTTAATCCGAGCGGAAGGTGCCTGTAGCTCCACACACTATGCAAAGAACATCATCTGGTCAACAACCGAAGGACCCCCTGTAGTGCTTCAGCAATCCCCGTACTAAGCCACAAGGTGACTATTGAGTCGACTCAGAAGCCCCCTGAAGTGCTCCAGCTATCCCCATACTGAGCCACAAGCACCGTCAAAACACAGCAGCGCCATACCACTTCTCACCCCTCCAGTCAGAGTGCTGATTTCACTCTTCCTTCATTTCATGAACGATCCCAGCTCACCTGTGGGAGTTGAATGCCGTTCTTCAACCCCACAGAAGTGCCCCAGCTCTCCACATACTCACCCACAGACAGTGCCTTGTTGCGAAGAATAACCTCATCGAAAACAACGCAGCCGCCTTCAACACTCCTTGCCACTCTCCACCACACCAGTGCATGTACACCCTTCCACTAATCCCCTTCCCCCTCCCCCCCCCCCCCCCCCCAAAAAAAATCACCTGTGGGAATTGAATGCCGTTTTGAACTCCCGCTGAATTGCCCCAGCTCTCCACATACTCGGCCACAAACACCGCCTTGTTGCGAAGAATAAACTCGTTGGCATAGTCGCACCCATACTTGCCACTGTACCACTCTCCACCGCTCCAATCCGTGTACTGGTTGCACTCTTCAACAAGCGCCCAGTCAAACAGGCCCGCCATGTGCGAGGGAGCTAGGGGGGCGGGGTTCTTGAGACCCACTGACATGCCATACCTGATGAGGAGGGGGGGGGAAGGGAGGAGAACATTTTGATAAGTTGGAGCGCTGGGGTTTCTTAAACCTAATGACATACCTTACCTGAGGCGGGGAGAAGGAAGGCGTGGGAAGTTGGGACGGGGTTGAAGGGGAAAAGGGGGGGAGGAGGGGGGGTTCGAAGGATGGGGGGGTGGTTTCTGGGGACTGGGATTTGTCAGACCCACTGACATGCTGTATCAGACAAGCATAGGGGGTTGAAAAGGAGGCGCTTGAGAAAAAGGAGGGTAGATGGATGAAGCAAATGAGCGACTAGGAGCTCTTTACGATCTGAGGAAGGTGGGAGGGAGAGAAAGGGCTATTGTTCATCAGACCAACTACGTGGTGCTGAAAGGAAAGGAGAGGTGGGTCAGGGTTTCGGCTTTAAGAATTTAAAGTTGCATGAGCGTGATAAAAATCCTTAGTTTGACCCAGAAACTAAGCACTAGGGAAAAAATCAGCGACTGGGCTTGGATTGTGGTGCTAATCTGCCATGCCATCCACATCGTAAAAGTAACGGTAAGGAATTGTGCACCTGGGTTTGAAAAATGAAAGAAGCAACAGGTGAACTCACTTGTGCACTGTATTTGCAATCCACGAGTTGAAGTTGAACTGGTCCTTTTTCGTGATGGTGAAATGGCTGATGGCTTTGACCATGATGTTTCCATTGTATGCATCCACATTGTCCGGCTCGATGCCGTCACACCCCTTGCGCTTGGCCAGCTGTTGTAGGATGGGATAAACGACCACAGGCAGTCGGTGGGGCAAATCAGGACTTCAGCCACGAAAGGCTGACCCAACACCCTGAGCTATGCGTGTTTGCTGCACAATCTGCTCAAAAACCTGCTTGAAACTCTTCGTACCTGAATCCGCTTTTCCAGTATTTGACGCATAGCAGTAGTCTTCACGTCCAGCCATCGCTCGCCCTGCCATGCTTCCGAGCAGTCCTCGTTCTGCCAATAAGGCAGATTTGAAGGTAAAACGATGAAGGGCTGATGTTAGAAACCGAAGCTCGTTATGCCAGCCCATGAACGAATGATCGAGTTCCTGACATGTAGAAGCTCCTTGCATTCCAACTCACCTGACAAACCATCCCACCGAGAGTGGATCTCGGAAACTGGTTGTAGTCGCTGCGATAATCCTCGGCAGTTCCGAAGCTGAAGTAGCAAAACACCTTCTTCCCCATCGTTTTCAACCTCGATATAGTGCTCGCCGACACGCTGAACCCGTCAATATCGAATATCTTCTCATTATGCGACGATGCTTCGAGGTTCGTGTCAGAGATCTGCCAGTAGAAGGACGTTCCCGGCGGGGGAACGTACCATCCGTTGCTCGTGACGTTAACAGCGAGGCAAACGGCGACGAATGTCAGAGACACGACGACGCGAAAGAGTCTCGCGTTTATAGACATGGTGGTGTTGAGAGGTGCCACGGCGGAACATTGCGCGAAGTGAGTCGTGCAGGTAGTAATGTATACGGAGTTAGTACTTTATTTTTGCCACGGCCAGTGCGTCTGGTTTATAAGCGCTCAAATCATCCGACGCTTCGGCGCTTCGGCTTGTGTGCCTGCCGAACCGCAGCGGGAAACAGCGATACTGTGAAAGCCACTCGTTGCGCTAAAGGAACCTTCATGGCTAGCATAAACCAACAATCCTTTTTCTCCAATCCTCATGTCACGTGGCGAGACGCGTTGTTCCTCTAATAGTGACGCTGCAGTTAACATGTTCTGTCTTCGCGCTGAAAGAATTATCCTGAATGGGAAGAAGAAAATTATTGGTGGGTGCGTGGTTAGTGGAGGAAGCCGAAACGCAAGGCGCAGGCAGGAGCGACGTTGCAGATGATTGTCTTGGTGGGGTGAGGTGACCCTCGTCTGCCTGGCTGCGACGTCGCTCCTGCCTGCACCTTGCTCTCGCTTTCCTGTTGCTGCAGCTTGTGAGGTGGGGGGGTTGAAAATTGTAATGCGGAGACTCCAAGAACATGTAGTCGATACGGTCTGACGACAGAAATTCATAAACGGTATTGATACATGATTTCGGCTAATCTATACACCCAACAACAATAGCGGGTACATGTGGTCCCCACCTCATCACCCTCAAAGCCGTTGACCCAAATTGCATAAGGTTGACCCGAGGGGGTTTTTCTGGTATGGGGTTTGGCGAGTGATTTCGATTTCGTTTTCTTCGTTTTTTTCGCCAAACCCAACCTGCCCTTGTATTTCGCCCTGGGGGTCGGATCAGTTTCCGAAAGTCCCAAAATGCAGGCGCGTTAGTTTTCAAAGCTTGCACACTCAACTTCTTCAAGTTTTAAAAGGTTGACCCGCGCGGCCCGCAATTTGGGTCACGGGCTTCAAGTCAGTTTCGTCGAGGAGAAATTTGTCGGTCGCCAGATTTCTTGCATCCCCGCCTCGGAGCAGGCAGATGTGGCTCCCACCAGCTCGATGCTGCGCTGGATCCCTGTAACACACTTCCCCAAGCTGCTCGCGAAAAGCGGGTTCCGCTTTGCGAACAAATCGCCCTAGCTAGGCAATCGCGAGCTCATCGAGCGAGATTCCGCGAGCCGGTTACTTCGGCGAGATTCGACTTGCAGCTTGCTGCATCGCACAGCCCACATTCCACGCCCTGAGGAACAGAAGTCGTCAGCTGCCTCCTGCCTGTTATCCTAGTGACGTCGAGATGAGAGACTGAAATTCAACAGACGTAGCTTTTCTTGGTGAGCTTCCATGAAACTCGCTTCCGTTTGCCACTTGGCAAGACGTTCCTTAGCTTAGGAAACATGGCTCATGGGACTCATTCCACACGTCGGCACACGCCAGAATTTCTATATATCCTGGAATTGTACTCTCATTGTGCTCACAAAGAAACCAGACATCCAGCACGCTGACAGCACCCTGCTAAGCTGATACGGTTTATAAGAAACAGCTACGATGGCTCTATTTCGCGTTTATCCTAGCATCCTCGCCCTCCTTGCCGTTCTTTCGATGTGGCATTGTGGAAGAGCTAACGGGTGGTATGTGCCGAAACCAGGGACCACGATCTTCTGGCAACTAAGCGGAACAGACGCTGGTACTACTGATCGTTCGAATTTTTTTTCGTAATCGTCTTTCCGATTTTTTTCTGTTGTTAGCTTCATCATGCGAAGACCCAGCATTCTCGCATTGTCGGTACTCTGATATCGCCATCCTGCATCGCTCATAAAATGTATTAGAAACCATCATTCCCATCTAAGCTCCGGTTGTTCGCACTTGTGTCTTTCGAAACCTTCTAGACGTTGATCCAACACACCCGGCGAAGGTCTACACCGTTGACTCCAGCTTGACGGCGAAGAGCATCGCGAAACTTCGAAACGCGGGAAAGGCGGTGATGTGTTACATCAGCTTCGGGACCGCCGAGGATTACCGCAGCGACTACAACCAGTTCCCGAAATCCGTTATTGGGGGACTCACTTGCAGGGTATGGTACCTGATGTTGACCAATTTTATCAATCTGCAGACGTTTCGGTTCTCTTCTTGCAGTTTCCTGCGAATCACGAATCGTTTTTTGCGGTTGTGACAGGCTTATGTTGAGAAAAAAACCAAAATTGTTTTTTACCCTTTCAATTTCGTCATCTTTCTGTCAACCATTTGCGTGCTGCGTGTGAGCAGAACGAGCAGTGCACGGAGGTGTGGCCTGGGGAGAGGTGGCTGGACATCAAGAGCCCCATTGTCAAGACGATCATGGAGAAGCGCATCAAGGTGAGGCGTTTGCGTATCCCTTGTCCGTCAAGCGCCTGTCATGGAGCGATTACTGAATTGGTTACCAATGTGTTGTGTGCCATACTGAGCCATCCCATGTTAAAATCCTTGAACCCCAGGAGCACTGATGCTAAGATTTCTCATTAGTAATTATGCCAGTAACCTATGTCTGAAGCTCCTGAACTCTGTTCTGCCATCCGCTTTTCTTTACTTCATGTCAGTTGGCGAAGAGCAAGGGGTGCGATGGGGTTGACCCTGACAACATCAACGCGTATTCGAACAACATCATGGCTCAATCCATCAGCCGATTCACCATCACTGCCGATGACCAGTTCAAGTACAACTCATGGATCGCCAACACTGTTCACAAGTGAGTCATGTCCTCTTGAGCCTTTTTCTGCTGGTTCTGGGCTCCTGTTGTTGCTGTAAATCCGCAATATGGCAACGAGAGTCGTAACCAGCGGTTGTTTTATAAAAAGCATGGTGATCGTTCAAACCATACCGCATTGTGCCTCTCGTCCCCCCGCATGGTGAGCGTTGTGTAGTTTCCACCCTCCCCCGCTGGCCCTTTCCCTCTCCCATTGTTACACAAATTCACTCATGCTCAATGCTTACAATGCTCTATCTTCACCCTTCCGTCCCCACAAATAATCCCCTTCTAGGCCCCCCTTTCCCCATTCCCCCTCTGCCTTCATCCCCCCGTTCTCACATGCTCCCTCCACTTCCCCCCTGCTTCAGGTATGGCATGTGAGGGGCCCAAGACATCTGTTGCATTTACCCACACAATCAAATCTCCGGCCTCCTCCCTCCTATCCCCATTCCCAACGCCTTTCTTACCAGGTACGGCATGTCAGTGGGTCTCAAGAACCCCGGCCCGCTCGCCCCCTCTTTCATGGCGAGCCTCTTCGACTGGGCGATCATCGAGAGCTGCATTTACTTCAGCGACTTTAGCAACAACGAGTGGTACAGCGGCAAATACGCGTGCGATTTCTCCAACGAGTTTATTGTGCGCAACAAGGCCGTGTTCTCTATCGAGTATAAGGAGCTCTGGGGGACGTCTGCGAGCCAAGTGAACGGAATCGCATTCCCACAGGTCAGTGTGTGATGTATGTGTTGATAGCCAGACACAACATTCCCTGCATATGGTTAGTCAGAAACGAGGTGAGGGTCAATCAGTTACAAGGTTCAGGATGTTCTATTCTGCAGCGGCTCTCCATTCAGTCCCCTTCTTGCTCTCGCTGAACAGGGCATGGGTGAAGCCAGTCATGCTTAAGAACATGAGCAGAGCGAACTCAAAGACTGCCGCCGCTCTCCTCTTTCCATCCTTCCCCTCTTCTACCACCTCTCATTTACACGAACCATGTGTGCAGTCAGCAATGCCCAATGGCTCAACTTCAACTTTTGCAATATGACTTTCGAGTCATCTCAAAGTCACCCCATCTCCCTCTCTCTCCACTTCTTCCACCTCTCTCTCTCTCTCGTCAGGCCTTTTGTGCAATCAGCAGCGCTCACGGCTTCAACACCAACCTCTGCAGCTACTCCCTGGGCACTGGGCCTCGCTACCCCTTCGCCAACTGCCCGCTGCACAAGCCTGCAGGGTGCGATGCTGTGTGGAAAGAGTGTGTGAAGCAGAGTGTGTATGCGCAGTACAAGCAGCAGGGCATGGCGAGGTGGGATGCTGTGGGGCAGTGCATGAGGGCCAAGAGAGCAGCTTGCAGATACAAGGCTTGAACGAGGAGGGGATATCATTCTTAAAGTTCATAGCTGGGAAAGAGAAGAGAAGGCGTCGGTGAGACTGCAATAACTAGTGTTAGCTACAATCATGTGTAAGACGGTATTGTACAGTTAAGCTTCTGCCATTGCTTTAGTTGAAGTGTGGCCGACCACCCGTGCCCGTGTAGGTGTGAGCCAACCACGAGTGGTGCGCATCTAGTGAGTGGGCTGCCCTAAGATGGGCGCCAAGCTTCCAAATCGATTACCACGAGACAGTTGCTTATGGTCCCAGGCCCAGGCGCCTTGTTGATGTGGGACTTTATCTGCCCGCATAGAATTCTGTCAGTAAACCATGTATGTGGCAAGTAATGAACAGCATGAGAGTGCAGGCACGAGCGGACATTTGAAGCGAAGTCATGCTAACGGGCACAAAAACGTGAGGTTCTGGCGCTGAACAGTAGGGTCGGGCCTGCGGGTCAGTAGCCGAAGCGTGTGGCCTCGGGCACGATGTTGCAAATGTATTTAATGGGCGATATTTGCTAGGTATTAATGGGAAGTAATGGTTGCGAGGTGGGCAAAGGATGCCATATGCAGAACGTAGAGTGAACTAGAAGTAGAGGGAGAAAGTGTTTTTACCACTTTTTTTTTTGTTTTTTTTTTGAAATGTAACTATATTATCAAACATAGATACATCCACAGTCGTAACTGTATACCTGGAGGGCCTATGCTACACCACAATGTGATGTCGCAAATCCCCCCTTGGAGGTCTATGGTGGCTGGTGGCATGTGCGCGGGTTGCGCCAGATGGACAGAAATTGACCCGACCAGCATGCAGGACCATCCACGTTGCAGATTCCCTGCAGTTGTTCCCTCTCATCCTTTGCCACATGTCGCCATCTATCTGTTCTCATACCGCAAGCCACCTCACCCGTGGCCTTGCCTCTCCCGCGTGCTGCCAGCACCACCCTCGCATGTGTCATAAAATCCAGCACCGCACCGCGACCCACTTTCTTCCGCTCGAAAACTTCAGCCCTCCAAACTGAATTGCATCTTGCCAGCCAAATCTGTCGCAGCACCGCCGCCGTCAACGTCATCTCCGGGAAACCTGACGCTGTCCCCCCTTCCCCAAAAAGCAAGTCACCCAGCGAGTCCACCTGTCTGACCGGGTTCAGCATGCGCAAGGAGCGCTTAAGCGCGCCAATCACTGGCTGAATGACCGGGCAACTGTAGAGACAGTGGGCTAGGGTTTCCTCCTCCCCACAGTGCGCGCAGCTGATCCTGTTCTGGAAAAAAATCCAACCTCCCCCCCACCTGGAGGTTCTTGCTGTGTATCCGGAGCAACACATCCCTCGCCTTGAGTGGGACGCTGATAGAATCACGTGTATCGATCGCCCTTTTCCAGTCAATCTTCTTGCCCCACGCCACTTCCCACTCCGCCTGCCTCCACGAACGCCCCACCGCCTTGGTGAGCGTCGCCCGTATCTTACGCAGAGGCGCCAGTCCTCCCTCATCGAACAGCCCACAGCAGGTCAGCAGCTTCACTTTCGGGTCACCCGCCGGTCCTAGCAGCCTTCCCTCTTGGACGATTAATGGCTGCAGATTACACGCTTCGAAACAGGTCTCCCTGTTCCTTGCCGGGGCGAGAAGCGTTCCACCATCACCAACCTCCATGTATGAGGCAAGGATTCCCCCCTTGTCTAAACCCTTCACTGCCCACGGAGGCCCTGTAAGCTCGCCCCGAAGGATGAACTTCACCACCCCTGACGCCGCCACCACTGCCTCTGGTGTCACTGGCTCCTCGACCAGCTTCTTCCACTCCGGTGGCGTGGCCACATACGCTTTGCGTGCCATGACCGCCGCCTCCTTGGAACCCAGCTCCACCGTTAGTATCGCTTCATCCTTCAGCACCCTGCTACCCCTCAAGCCGTCGGTAAGCAAGTCACGTAACCGCGTGCAGAGGAGACTCTCCGTGCCCAACTGATGACCAAAGGGGCTATTTCCTCTGTGCATGATGTGCCGGTTGAAACAGATGAACTGTCCCTCCACCTCCCATCTATTCGCAGGTTCCGGCAGGGACGCAAGGGGCGACTTCCAGAAGACTTTGACCGCCGCCTTCCATCTCTCACTCCCATGCTCCCACCGTTTAATCGCAGACGGATGTGCGTGAAGCGTCGCCCACCCTTGTGGGAAACCCGCCGCCTTCTCCGCCAACCACCGTCGCGCTCCATCCTGTTCACCCAGAAGCTTGCCTATTCTGCGGATAGCCAGCCCGTCGAGGCAGAGCTTCGGGTCCAGTTGGCCCAATCCCCCATCTTTCTGCGGGAGGCAAGCCAGATATGCACTCCAGAGAATGAAATCCTTTTCCTCCACTGCCTCCCCCGCCGAGACGAAGGCATGACAGAGCTTTCTTATCTTCTCCCACAGCTCGTCTGGCGGCGAGTACACCTGCGCCTGAAACATTAGCACCGGAAGGACATAACAGCTGATAACCGCTACCCTCGCCGTCGTCGTGAGGTACTGCGACTCCCACTTTTTAAGCTCCTCCTTTATCCTCTCATAAGCCCTCTCCCAGGACGGGCCAGCGTCACCACTTGGCGTTATCCACACACCCAAGAGGCGTTCCGGCTCGCCCCTCTCCGACCACTTGTATGGTATGCCTGTCGGTGCCGTGGTGCCTCTGTTACACCCCAACGGTACCACCACGGACTTGTCGCAATTCACCTTCAAACCCGACTGTTTGCCGAAAGTGTCTAACACCCCCACCACCTTCCGCAGCTGTTCCTCCCCTTCCAGCAGGAACGATGTGTCATCCGCATAGCCCACATAGGAGATCGGTGCCTCACCAGGCGGGCCCACCCCCAAGCCTCTGCGCAGTGTCTCTCTGCAAAGCGGCTCCAGTGCACAAAGGAATAAGTAAGGCGCCAGAGGGCACCCCTGCCTGACCCCTCTGTCCATCTCCAATCTGTCGCTTAACCACCCGTTGACTATCACCCTTGTACCTGCTCCTGCATGCAGGCCCTTGGTCCAGCCGATGAACCTGTCCGGGAACCCAAGCTCCTTCATAACCCTGAACAAGAAAACCCGCGACACCGTGTCATACGCTTTCTGGAAATCGACGAGCAGCAGCAACCAGTCGTTACCGCCCCCGTTCGCCGCCTCCATCGCGTCCGCAACCACCGACACTGCGTCAGCCAAGCTTTTCCCAGGTAAGAACCCATGCTGCTCCTTAGACAGCACCTTGCCCAGCACCTTCTTTAACCTTGAAGCCATGATTTTGGTGACGAGCTTGTACATGACCGATAGCAGAGTGATAGGCCGGTAATTACCCAGATTGTCCACCGGTCCTTTTTTATGCAGCAGCACCGTCACAGCCGTTGATAATCCTTCCGACATCCTCGCCGTGTTCGTGAAATCTCTAATGAACTCCATCACGTGTTCCTTGAGCAGATCCCAATGCAGGATGAAATATTCCGCCGGGAGACCGTCTTGCCCGGGGGACTTCCCCTTCGGCAGGCTCTCCAAACCCTCTTTGACCTCCGCTTCCGTCCAGTCAGCGCCTAACATGTCCGCATCCGCGGGCGACATCCTCGCTCCCTCCGAGAACCGTCCCCAATCCACTTCCTCCTCCGGCACCACCTCCCTGAAGGCAGCCCTAAAATGCTCCGCCGCCACTCGCAGCACCTCCTTGGTCCCCCGGAAGGTCCTTCCCCCATGCGTGATTTCTTGTATCGACGTTCGCTTTTTCCGCATCTTGATCTTCGCCGACAGGTAGGGTGACGGGACCTCCCCGTTCAGCTCCACCCGGATGCCCGCCAGCACCTGCAGTCTGTCCCTACTGCTCCGCAGGTAGGCCTCCAGGTGCGCCTCTTTACAGACCAGCCTGTTCTGCGCCCTTTTGTCACCCGGGTGTCTCATCACCTTGTGCCGAAGGAACTCAACCACCCGCTCAAGGTGAGTAACCGTTGCTCTCACCCTCTTTCTTTCCTCCCTCGTATACTCCCTAAGGCCGACACTGAGTAACTTCAGCTTCTTCCCCAGGTCAGCCCCTTCCTCTTTTCCCAGCTTCCTCAGGATGCTTGCAGTCACTGTACTAACCCCTCTCCGTTGTGCCTGCCTCGCTTGCATCCTCCACAGACCCGGACCCTGCTCTACCGGTGCGTTAACCGCCAGCCCGACCTTAATCCCAAACCAGTGATCAATCAAGCTCCTTGGTACTTTTATGTGCTTCGCCTCCGCCAGCAACCCCAGCAACGAGAAGGAGACCAACCCCCTGTCGATGCGCGTGCTCGCCCCAGTCGCCCTGTCACGGAAGGTGTATTCCGGTCTAGTTGGGTGCAGCGCTCGGAAGGCATCCCTGAGATCCGCCGTCCGCCAGAAGCTCAGAAGTCTCTGATTTTCATTGCCCGAGCCCGATCGTGATGTCCGGTCCAGGTCCGGATCCTCTACCAAGTTAAGATCCCCCATCACTACAAGGTGAGTCGACGGCGGCTGTGCATCGACGAACTGCGCCAGACAGCTCCGAAAAAACACCCCCCTGGCACACGCTTGCGCAGGAAGGTACATCGCCACCAGCCTGAAAGAGACCTGTGAGTACTCCACTGTGACCCCTACCAGCCTCCCTGATTGATGAGTGATTACGTCCGTGAGCTTGACCTCTTCATTGAAGGCTAATACCGCAACCCCACCTGCTCTTTCACTATTTCCCACCACCGCCGCTGATGACGGTTTCAGCTGGGTCCAGAAGTTATGATCTTCTCCTATCCTTGTGTCTGTGAGCACCACGACATCTGCCGCTGTTTTAATCCAATGTGCATGCTCCGTTCTTTTGCCGTTACTTCCGAGGCCGTTGACATTGACCTCGCACAGTGTGAGATTTCGGTTGTTATCCATTAATCCACTGGTAAAAGACCTCCTCGCATCCACGGGGTTGAGATAGAGACACCACTCCTACCAACAACTGCTCTTGCGTAACAGGTACCGCACCACACTCCTTCCGTCCCCATCCTTTACTGCTCCACCGTACTTTATTTCCTTGACCGCCTCTGATACTCCTGCATGGAAACGCGCACTTCACTTCTGCAGCCCAAACTCCTTGCGGACCGGGATCAAATTCATCTTCCCCCGGCTTCTCCTGCTTGCCGAACCCCCTTGCAGAAGCGCGGTGCAGTGCTGGACCGATTTCACATGCACCAACGCCTGGGAGAAACTGGAGCCGTGCACCTTCCCACACGCCTCCTGGACACACAGCCAGTCTTCCCGGCTTCCCCCCGTGGAGATCAGCACCAAGGCAGGGTCGCGCAGAATCTTCTTCACACGAGCGTCGAGTGGAAGGGACGCAGCTGCTCACGCAGGAAGCGATGCGGCCGTCAGCGAACCCGAGCGGGACCCCGACAGCCTGAAAAACAAGGTTAGAGCACCACTTGTTACCATTAATCGCATGCAGTCGCTCCAGCGTCAGATTCCACTTTCCGATATTCTCCTGACGCTCCGTAACATAATCATCATGGAACTTTGTCATGTGCATGCCGTTGCAGAAATCACAGGAAAGCGATGGAAAATGGACAAGAAGCTGCCTGTGGTGCACCGAGTCAGTCAGCAGGTGCCACCAGCGATACTTATCCCCCGGGTGGCCTTTGACCAAGCCCCTGATCTTGTCTGTGTCCGCACCAGTAACCGGATCAACCACCCGGTGGAAAGCCGAACCGCTCAAGAAGGGGGTTCTGCCACGCTTCTCCAGCACCGCCGTCACCAGGTACTCATAAACCATCTCCGGCGTTATGGCGGCAGGCACACTCTTTAGGAGCACTTCGACCGAGTCTGGGTGCTTCGCGCGTTCCATGATGTACAGCGGGTTTTCTGGGTGCTGCCAGTCAAGGGTGATACCTACACCGTTCAACATCTTGTGCTCAAACCTGCGGCACCATGCGTCGTTCGCGTCCGACGCCTGCTGAAAGGTAACTTGCAGCCGTCCGTAACGCTTCTTTGACAACCACGCCGGTAAGAGCACTTGACACTTCGTCGTTGTCAGCACATGCGCCGACATATACTTTCTCCACAGCGCCAGCAGACCCTTAACCGTGTCAATAGTCCGCTCCACCTCCTCTTCGTACTTGATCGGGATCAGGAGCGTGATTGAAAAGCCAGCACGCGCGGCAATCTCCCCCGCCTTCACGGGGTCAAAACGTTCCTCCGGGTCATCGCTGAGGTACCCGTCATCCTCATCCTCCTCTTCATCTTCCCCTTCAGCAGGAACCTCTGGAGCTACGGCCGGGGACGACACCTCATCCGTGTTCTTCTTCTCCTCCCCTGCTTCAGTAGACCCCTCCGCAGTGCGATCCTCCAGGGACGAGAACTTCAAATCATTCAACTTCTTCACCAGCGAGATGCGCGTTTCATCCGCGAAAGGGCCTCCCACTTCCTTCAGCATCGGACGAGGCGTCGCTGGCTCCGAATGGTGACTCTTGGACGCGGACTCGCGAACACCATTGTCCGTGGGTTTGCTCACTGGCTGAGCAGCTTTCTTCGGCAGGCGCGGCATGGTGCAATGATGACAACTGCCAGAGTTGAAACCAGAAAATCGTGATGGGAAAGGTCCCGCTGGACTTGACTGGTTAGTTCTGAGCACCGATTTCTTATAAGCACGTCGTTTAGGCCTCGCCCTTTTCCTTGGTTGCTTTTTCTTGGGAGTCCTGCTCTTGGTAGAAAGGCGACCCTTGATAGTTGGATTCCGAGATGAAACCTTAGCTTGAACCTCGGTAATGCACTGCGCTGGACAAGTCAACCTCGAGACGCAAGCCTTGCAATCAAACCTAGATACTGTCAACGGCGGGAAATGGTAGCCTGACAATGAACCATAGAATACCATGCTCTCCATTTGAGCACAAAATTAGTATCCTTGTGTTCCTCTTGTCATGTAGAATCCAAATCCGTTATTAAATCTAGTATCTGGTAAGAAAATTGATAGACATTGGTCCATTTAAAGTAGCCTGACAATATCCATGGCGGAGAGAGCTATGACGCCACTGATCAGCAAGGCAGCAAACTTTGGATATCACTGGTGTTTGGATAGATAAGTTTGCAACACAAGTTACAGGTGGGTTTCGGGTGGTTCGCTCAATATCGGAATGAAGGTTCTCGTTTTGCAATGTCTCTCCACTGCATACTTGCTGCCACGTGGATCAGCCAATCATATCGACTATTAGCGATTTCGATTGAACAACCGAGATTACAGGCATCTGCTATCCAGGAATCCATTGGATGTGCAAGCAGCTCTACAGTACGCTCTAGCATCCAAAGAATCGGGAGAAATGACGCGCATCGGCGGAAATCGCGCTTCTCTCAAGTGCATTGACCCAAATTATTGCGAGCTCGCCACGTCGGCGTTTCTCTCAATTGGATGGACCGCTTTTGCGCGCGCCCCCCCCAAACCGATTTTCCGCCCTTCCCGTTCGAAGTACGAGCACCCGCTGGAATTTCGTGAAATCACAAACAGTCACAAATACATGCTTTTTTCGTAACGCTAAGATTTCAATATGCGAGCGACATCTGATTGGACAGAAAACCGGTGAATTAATTCGCGCGTCAAAGTGATACGCAAGCAGTGCGTTTGGAATCTTCAATGTTGAATGACGTGCACCTTTACTTCTGTTTTCCATATAAAATATACCCAGTAGTTATAACATGATTTATTTTGTAGCTAATTACAGCTTGAGCATAACAACTAGAGTAATTTTGATTGTGAAAAAATATCCTTAGCAATAATATGGGTTTCATTAATGTATGCCACTGCATTAACATTGGTTTTTCAATCTTTCTAATCGGATGATATAATTCCTATTCTGAATCATATAAATCAGTATAGTCAAACACAATCTCTACCTAATTTAAAAAAGGTTAATTTTAATTTGATAGATTAATTTAGACGTTTCATGGAAGAAGTTTAATATAAAGATATTAAAAACTGCAAAATCTATAGTTTATTTGTCATGTGTTTTTCTGTGCGCATGGGCTAATCCGCAAAAACATGGTACAATCAACGTGCATAGGACACTATTGAGGTTGAGATGCAGCCGCCGAAATTGTCAAAAGTCGATTGCAAAAGCTGATGTGGCTTGCCACAACTACGTGGAGGATTTGGCATGATGTGGAAAGCATGTATTCGTGACCTTTTGTGATTCCACGAGATTCCAAGCGGTTGCCCGAATTTCGGACGGGAAGGGCGGAAAATCGGTTGGGGGGGCGCGCGCAAAAGCGGTCCACCCAATTGAGAGAAACGCCAACGTGGCGAGGTCACGATAATTTGGGTCGATTTAATTGAGAGAAACGAGATTTCCGCCGGTGCGCGTCATTTCGCCAAAGAATCGTTATCACGCACGTCCCATATCGGGAGGGGCGCAATTCCCGAGGCGCGCTGCAAACACCGCGGCGCAACTATCCCGTCATTGTTTCAGCCCGTCGTCACCCGACACGACGCTGCGCCTAGGCCGAGTGACATGCCACGCCACCTGATGATGGCGAGACACGCGTTCCATCCCAACCAACTGGCTGCCTGCCTTGCCCGTCTGTCTGCCCGAACCCGAACCTGCCGTTCCACCCAGAGCTGCTCCACTTCGGCTTCCCCAACAAGAAGTCCCCCCACCCAAACACCACAGCCACCACCCACTACAGGCAGCAGAGGCACCCGGAACTTTTCCCCCGAGCGCTCCTCCCAGACCTGCAAACCACCTCGTGATTGCTTCACACCCAGAATACACCTTCATCCTATTATTATGGCGAGCTGTCCACCACGTAGCAAGTAAAGGAATGAACTTGTAGTTGCTCAAGCTGTCTAATCTCCTAGGTTTTTGTGTTTTTTTTATATATATATTTAGATTCACCCCAAATCAGGCAGTAGTTAAGGAAAACTTACTTTAATTATATGAAGATCAATTCACAGTAAAATCGATACACAATGTGTTTCTATGTATTAAAACCCGCGGGCCAAGAAGTTCAACCTTAGGAAGGTTGGTTGGGATTGAAAACGCTATTGGCCCGCGAACCAACCAGGTCTTAGAACTCCGGAATAATCACAGGCGTTTTTGGGACACCCAACCAGCATTAGGAAGGATGAATCAATTGTAGCCTTCTTGACCCTCGGGGTTTTAAAGCCCGTGTCCCAAATTGCGAGGCGCGTGGGTCATGCTTTTAAAACTTGACGAAGTGCAGTGTGCAAGCTTTGAAAAGTAGCGCAACTGCAATTTGGGACTTTCGAGTGCTGACACAACCCACAGGGCGAAATACGTGGGCTGGCTGGGTTTGGCGAAAAAAGCGAAATGTCCGAAATCGAAATCACTCGCCAACACCCAAACCAGAAAAAAACCCCTCGCGTCATCCTTTTAAAACTTGTGCAATTTGGGCTTCCGGCTTTATGGTAAAACAGATGTGTTGGTGAATTCGCATGGAAATAGGATGAAAATACACAATTTGTACAACCCACCACCCACGAGCAGCTAAAAACATTGAAAAGTGGTTAAACCCGAGCGATAGTCAATTGTGGTAGCACGACTGTACTTCATTTTGGGTGTAACGCATCCCAGCACTTCCGCCGCCATTCGTCACCACTTCCGCCCGTCCCAACCACCTTTTTCTCCCGCAATTCACGGGTTCAACGCGCCCTTTGGTCTGGTTGGCGAATCACAACCACCACCACCATCGCCAGCCAACCCCCAACGAAATGTGGGGTTGGGGTGAGGTTTCTGCCGTACAACAGAAAAGCATGACAGGAGGTCGCACAGCGGGGTGTCTTCTTGGTCAAGCGCAAAATGACTGCTTTGCCGTGGATTTGTCATCACATCATAGTTATCTAAACGCGTGCTGGGGTTTAGTGCAACAAGGCTCCACGAAATCCTCTGTTCGATCGATTTCGATGCTTTCTAAAACACGCCCTTCGTGGCTTGCATTTCAAATGTTCCTCAATCTCTCCGACAAAGTTCTGGAGAGCCCTTGCACCTATTACTATCTCTTCAAATAATATTTAGAGTTCAGGGTTTCCGTTTCTGTTCCCTTCCCTAAACGACGTTTCTCGTCTCGGTCCTCAGTCACGAGAGTAGGGAGGGCGCACTGAGGGTCTTGGTCATTTTCTTTAAGCGAAATTACACGTTTCTTTCGTGGAAACCGTCATTGCGGTGCCAGTTCAGGGCTCGGTACGCCTCAATTCTCTTGAGTGACATTGCACAGAGCTCGACACTTGGTGCTCTCTTCGTAGGTAGTCGAAACTAGAGCCAACTCTTAACTCAATTCAAACTTCTTCTGTTAACGAAACGCAGTTGGATAGTCTGTATTAGAGCCATGGCGGAAGTAGACGTAGCCGGCCTAAGCGCCGGAACCACGCATACCGGCGTGACTGGCGGCGGTAGCGTGCCCACTGCGCGACGATACTCTCTAGGCATCGTACAGCCTGGCGGCGCGGGGGGAGATGCCGGCGGCGCGAAGGTTCTGAGCGCAAAGTCGGAGCTTAAAGACGCGCTGACGGCGTTTCAGCAGACGTTCGTCATGTGCGACGCGACGAAGCCCGACAACCCTATCATGTTCGCCAGCGAGGGGTTTTACCAGATGACGGGGTACACGGCCCAAGAGACTATCGGCAAGAACTGGTGCGTATTACTGGGGTTACCAATTTATGAAGCGTGGCAACCCTTTTATGTTCGCCATTGGCGATCAGATAGGTTACACAGCACAGGAACTGGCTAGTCGTTTTTTTAAAGACATCTCAAGAACATCACGTGGGGTTCGTGACTGACAAAGCCCGACAACCCTTTTAACAGACACATCAACCGGTATGAGAAATCGCCAATGAGGTGTGGGCTGGCAGGCAGGTCAATTTCCCACCGCTACACGTCAGCTTTTTTTTTGTTTGTGCGTTGGTTTTACTTGTTTGTTTGTTTTGTTTTTTTATTTCTCTTGGTTTAAACAACTGGCGCATGAAGCATGCGTGCAAGAGACGTTGCGTTTCCATGACTTATGAAGTTCCCACAGTAAGAGGTCGCAAAGGGGCTCTCGCTTACACATTTTCCAAGGCAGAAGTGGCGGAGATGGCGGAGCTGCGCGCAGGGCGGGGACAGGGGAAAGCTGTTGCGGAATGGTGGGAGGGGGAGCTGGTGCGGACGGCTCCTGATGTCCACTTACCCCCCCTCTTCCCCGACATTTTCGCTCTCGTTCCCCTTCCTTCCGCCAGCTGCTTCTCTTTCTCCTTCCGCCAGTCGTTTTCCGCAGGGCGCGGAGACGGACAAGGCGGAAATTGCGAAGCTGCGCTGGCATGGCGGCGGGAAAGAGCTGGTGCGGGGGAATGCTGGGAGGCTTCCCCGCCCCCTTCCCCCTTAACCTCCTCCCCTCCCCCTCTTCCCCACCCAACCCAGCTTCCTCACTCTCACCTCCCCGTTGTCCCCCCTTCTTTCCCCCACCCATCCCTCTCTCTCCCCCCTGCCCTTTCCCCCCCGCGTGCGAGCACAGTCGTTTCCTGCAAGGCGCGGAGACGGACAAGGCGGAGATTGCGAAGCTGCGCGCGGCAGTGGCGGCGGGGGAGAGCTGGTGCGGGCGACTGCTCAACTACAAGAAGGACGGGTCGCCCTTCTGGAACCTTCTCACCGTGTCGCCCGTCAAGGACGACAACGGGACGGTCGTTAAGTTTATCGGGTGAGTGTGATTGTATCGAGTATTGAGCAAATGCTCAATTACGGAAAATGCTCGGCCTTCTGGAACATTCTCACCATGTCGCGCGTAAAGGACGACAACGGGGCGGTTGTTTATCACGTGTCTGTATCGAGTGTGAGTTTATCGAGTATTATTTGTGACTGTGTCGACTATCGAATACGTGATAAGTTGCGTTTTTGGAACCTTCTGACCATGCGGGCCGTTATGCATGTTAACGAGAAAGTTCCATTGCCCAACACGGTTCGTCCGTGAAGTCAGCATTTTCCCGTAAATATAGCCTTTTCCGTCAATTTCAGCATTTAAACGTCAATGTCAGCATTTCCCCGTAAATATCAGCATTTTCCGTCAATGTCAGCATGTTTTATGTCTCTGTCAGCATTTTCCGTCATTGCGAGCAATTCCCCGTCAATGTCGGGTTTTTTTTTTTTTTGTCGTCGTTTATTTATGCCAGCGTTTATCGTTCAATGTCAGCGATTTTTTTGTCGTTGTTAGCAATTTCTCGTCAATGTCAGCCTTTTTCAGTCACCGTCCATATGTCTCCGTCTATGTCAGCATTATATGTCAACCTCTCGTATGCCCTATCGTCTCACCCATGTGCATCCCTCTCACTCCCTTTCTCCCTCTCCTCGTTTTCACCCCACCCTCTTCCCCCCCTGCAGCATGCAAGTGGAGGTGACCAAATACACGGAGGGCGCTAAGGACAAAGAGACCCGCCCCAATGCGCTTCCCGTCTCGCTTATTAAATACGATGGTATGTATTGTTCGGCACATACAGTATTCTGCAACCCACCTCCCCTTACCCCCCTGTTACACCCCCTTTTTGTGGAGAGGAGGCGGAGAGCACAGTGTCTGAGCTAGTGGCGGAGGTGGGAGAACAAGCCGAACCCACCTTTCCATGTAGACCCCTCACCTTCCCCTTTTCCCCCCTCTTTTCCCCCAACTCTCGCCCTTCCCCCAACACAGCCCGCCAAAGGGAGGAAGCGGAGAGCACAGTGTCTGAGCTGGTGGCGGAGGTGGGGAACAAGTCGCTGCAGGCGGAAGGGGGGGAGGCGGAGGGCGGAACGCAGCCCCCCAAGGCGGAGGGGGAGGGGTCGGGGGGAGCTGCGGTGGGGGCGGACGGGAAGGGCAGTGAGAGGCGCAAGTCAGGGCTCATGTCTCTGCTGTCGTGAGTGGCACCCCTCCTTGTTCCATGCTGTCGTGAGTGGCACCCCTCCTTGTTCCATGCTGTCGTGAGTGGCACCCCTCCTTGTTCCATGCTGTCGTGAGTGGCACCCCTCCTTGTTCCATGCTGTCGTGAGTGGCACCCCTCCTTGTTCCATGCTGTCGTGAGTGGCACCCCTCCTTGTTCCATGCTGTCGTGAGTGGCACCCCTCCTTGTTCCATGCTGTCGTGAGTGGCACCCCTCCTTGTTCCATGCTGTCGTGAGTGGCACCCCTCCTTGTTCCATGCTGTCGTGAGTGGCACCCCTCCTTGTTCCATGCTGTCGTGAGTGGCACCCCTCCTTGTTCCATGCTGTCGTGAGTGGCACCCCTCCTTGTTCCATGCTGTCGTGAGTGGCACCCCTCCTTGTTCCATGCTGTCGTGAGTGGCACCCCTCCTTGTTCCATGCTGTCGTGAGTGGCACCCCTCCTTGTTCCATGCTGTCGTGAGTGGCACCCCTCCTTGTTCCATGCTGTCGTGAGTGGCACCCCTCCTTGTTCCATGCTGTCGTGAGTGGCACCCCTCCTTGTTCCATGCTGTCGTGAGTGGCACCCCTCCTTGTTCCATGCTGTCGTGAGTGGCACCCCTCCTTGTTCCATGCTGTCGTGAGTGGCACCCCTCCTTGTTCCATGCTGTCGTGAGTGGCACCCCTCCTTGTTCCATGCTGTCGTGAGTGGCACCCCTCCTTGTTCCATGCTGTCGTGAGTGGCACCCCTCCTTGTTCCATGCTGTCGTGAGTGGCACCCCTCCTTGTTCCATGCTGTCGTGAGTGGCACCCCTCCTTGTTCCATGCTGTCGTGAGTGGCACCCCTCCTTGTTCCATGCTGTCGTGAGTGGCACCCCTCCTTGTTCCATGCTGTCGTGAGTGGCACCCCTCCTTGTTCCATGCTGTCGTGAGTGGCACCCCTCCTTGTTCCATGCTGTCGTGAGTGGCACCCCTCCTTGTTCCATGCTGTCGTGAGTGGCACCCCTCCTTGTTCCATGCTGTCGTGAGTGGCACCCCTCCTTGTTCCATGCTGTCGTGAGTGGCACCCCTCCTTGTTCCATGCTGTCGTGAGTGGCACCCCTCCTTGTTCCATGCTGTCGTGAGTGGCACCCCTCCTTGTTCCATGCTGTCGTGAGTGGCACCCCTCCTTGTTCCATGCTGTCGTGAGTGGCACCCCTCCTTGTTCCATGCTGTCGTGAGTGGCACCCCTCCTTGTTCCATGCTGTCGTGAGTGGCACCCCTCCTTGTTCCATGCTGTCGTGAGTGGCACCCCTCCTTGTTCCATGCTGTCGTGAGTGGCACCCCTCCTTGTTCCATGCTGTCGTGAGTGGCACCCCTCCTTGTTCCATGCTGTCGTGAGTGGCACCCCTCCTTGTTCCATGCTGTCGTGAGTGGCACCCCTCCTTGTTCCATGCTGTCGTGAGTGGCACCCCTCCTTGTTCCATGCTGTCGTGAGTGGCACCCCTCCTTGTTCCATGCTGTCGTGAGTGGCACCCCTCCTTGTTCCATGCTGTCGTGAGTGGCACCCCTCCTTGTTCCATGCTGTCGTGAGTGGCACCCCTCCTTGTTCCATGCTGTCGTGAGTGGCACCCCTCCTTGTTCCATGCTGTCGTGAGTGGCACCCCTCCTTGTTCCATGCTGTCGTGAGTGGCACCCCTCCTTGTTCCATGCTGTCGTGAGTGGCACCCCTCCTTGTTCCATGCTGTCGTGAGTGGCACCCCTCCTTGTTCCATGCTGTCGTGAGTGGCACCCCTCCTTGTTCCATGCTGTCGTGAGTGGCACCCCTCCTTGTTCCATGCTGTCGTGAGTGGCACCCCTCCTTGTTCCATGCTGTCGTGAGTGGCACCCCTCCTTGTTCCATGCTGTCGTGAGTGGCACCCCTCCTTGTTCCATGCTGTCGTGAGTGGCACCCCTCCTTGTTCCATGCTGTCGTGAGTGGCACCCCTCCTTGTTCCATGCTGTCGTGAGTGGCACCCCTCCTTGTTCCATGCTGTCGTGAGTGGCACCCCTCCTTGTTCCATGCTGTCGTGAGTGGCACCCCTCCTTGTTCCATGCTGTCGTGAGTGGCACCCCTCCTTGTTCCATGCTGTCGTGAGTGGCACCCCTCCTTGTTCCATGCTGTCGTGAGTGGCACCCCTCCTTGTTCCATGCTGTCGTGAGTGGCACCCCTCCTTGTTCCATGCTGTCGTGAGTGGCACCCCTCCTTGTTCCATGCTGTCGTGAGTGGCACCCCTCCTTGTTCCATGCTGTCGTGAGTGGCACCCCTCCTTGTTCCATGCTGTCGTGAGTGGCACCCCTCCTTGTTCCATGCTGTCGTGAGTGGCACCCCTCCTTGTTCCATGCTGTCGTGAGTGGCACCCCTCCTTGTTCCATGCTGTCGTGAGTGGCACCCCTCCTTGTTCCATGCTGTCGTGAGTGGCACCCCTCCTTGTTCCATGCTGTCGTGAGTGGCACCCCTCCTTGTTCCATGCTGTCGTGAGTGGCACCCCTCCTTGTTCCATGCTGTCGTGAGTGGCACCCCTCCTTGTTCCATGCTGTCGTGAGTGGCACCCCTCCTTGTTCCATGCTGTCGTGAGTGGCACCCCTCCTTGTTCCATGCTGTCGTGAGTGGCACCCCTCCTTGTTCCATGCTGTCGTGAGTGGCACCCCTCCTGAGGCGCCTCAAAAGTTAGGGGCGCCTCTCAAGTCAGGGCTCATGCCTCTGCTGTCGTGAGTGGCACCTTTCTTTCTTACTCGCCTTTTGAGGCGCCTCAAAAACTGGGCCCATGTCTCTGCTGTCGTGAGTAGCACCTGACTCTTTAACTCGCCTTTCTTTGCATTCACCTGTCTTTGAGTCTGCGACAGGTCTTTTTATACTCTTTGTGCTTCACTCGCAGGAGATGGAACGATCGGCTGCAGAGTCCCATCGAAGGCTGAGAATACGAGAGGAGGAGCTGTTGAGAGCTCATACTCCACTTCCCCTCCCCTGCACCTCCCCATCCCCCTCTTTTGAGACGTCTCAAAAGTCATACTCGTTTTGCTTCACTTGCAGTAGATGGAACGGCTACAGTGCTTCATGCCCCACTTCCCCTCCCCTTTTCCACCCCCTTCCCCCCCCCGCCCCCTCCCACCCAATTCCCCCACACGCACAGCAAGAAGGAGCGTTCGGAGCCGGCAATGGAGGCGGTGGAGGAGGAGGATGAGGGCGAACACAAGGCGAGGAGGGATGGCTGTTCTCAGCACTCATACCCCACTCCCCCTCCCTTTTGTCCCCTCCCCTTTTCTCCTCATCTCTCCACTTCCCCACCCATGCAGCAAGAAGGAGCGTTCGGAGCCGGCGATGGAAGCAGTGGAGGAGGAGGACGAGGGCGAGCACAAGGCGAGGAGGGGGCTCGACCTGGCAACCACGCTGGAGCGAATCCAGAAGAACTTTGTCATCACGGACCCGCGCCTGCCCGAGAACCCCATTGTGAGTTGACGGAGGGGTTCGAATGGGTGTAGTGAGGTGCTTGATGGTGCATGTGGTCCTGTGAGTGAGGAGGGGGCTTGATCTGGCGACCACGCTGGAGCGAATCCAGAAGAACTTTGTCATCACGGACCCGCGCCTGCCCGAGAATCCTAGTGTAAGTTGACTGCTAGAAGGCTAATGGGTTTGAATGGGTGAAGAGCGGTGGTTGATGGTGTGTGTAATGCTTTGGGTGAAAGGAGGAGGGGGCTTAATGGACCTGGCGACCACGCTGGAGCGAATCCAGAAGAACTTTGTCATCACGGAGCCCCAACTGCCTGAGAACCCCATTGTAAGTTGACTGGGTGATGTGCTATGTGGCTGCGGTTGAGATGAGATGGTTTTCTAGGGCTGGGATGAGTAGCTGAGTGGTAGGTGAGCAGAGCAGGTGCTTGACCTGGGGACAAGGCTGGAACGAATCCAGAAGAACTTTGTCATCACGGACCCCCAGCTGCCTGAGAGCCCCATTGTGACCAAGTTTTGAAATGCCCTCATGAATGACCGCTCCTGTGGACCCATCTCTGTCACCGCTCCTGTGGACCCATCTCTCTCACCGCTCCTGTGGACTCATCTCTCTGACCGCTCCTCCCCGCCCGCCACACCCTCCTCGTCCTCCTCCTTCCTTCCCTCCTCCCCGTCCCCGCCCTCCTCCCTTTCCAAACCTCCCACCCTCCTCGCCCTCCTCACCCTCCCCAACCTCCCTACCCTCCCCGCCCTCATACTTCTCCCCAACCTTCCCCACCTTGCCCTGTCCACCCCTGCCTGCTCTCTAACCTAGCCTTTCCTCCCGCCCTCGCCAACCCCTACCCCCCCTGCGTGGGCAGATTTTTGCGTCAGACGATTTCCTTGAGCTCACAGAGTACTCCCGAGAGGAGATTCTGGGCCGCAATTGCAGGTGAGGGTTCAAGATTTAAGGTTGAGATTTCAGAGTTGAAGGCGTTGGGTTTGATGTTCTAGTGGTGATGAAAGAGGCTTCTGTTAGGGGAGTTGTTTGAGCTGACAGAGTACACTCGAGGGAACATTCTCGGGCGTCTGATGGACCGGCTTCTCTGTGTGACCTTGTTTTCTCATCGCATGTGTGTTTATTGCTTGTTGCATGGCAGGTTCCTGCAAGGCCCGGACACGGATCCCAAGACGGTGCAGAGGATTCGAGATGCCATCAAGAAGGAGGAGGACATCACGGTGCAACTGCTGAATTATACCAAGTCAGGTGAGTGGAATAGGGAGCAGTCGTGAGAATTTAGAATTACACCAATTCAGTATTCTCGTGTCCCCCTCCTTCTCTCCCCACTTTTCTGTGTATATCCCTCATCCCGTCTGATGCAAACCCACTGCCTTTGCATAACTCCTCTTTCTATCCGTCTCATCACTCTCCCCCTTCACGTCTATATGTGTCTATCCATCCTTGCCTCCTGTCCCGCTGCGTTGCTGCTGCAGGCAAGCAGTTTTGGAATCTCTTCCTACCTGTCTCACCACTCTCCCCATCTCTCCTCCGTGTCTGTCCATCCTTGCCCCTTGTCCCGCTGCATTGCTGCTGCAGGCAAGCAGTTTTGGAATCTCTTCCATCTGCAGGCCGTGCGCGACAACAAGGTACATGGTGGTGCAAAGTGGTGTAGAGTGGTGTAGGGTGGTGTAAGGTTGTGTAGTGGTGCAGAGTGCAGAGTGCAGACTGAGTAGGTATCTGTTCACCTCTATTCACCTATTTTACCTCTTTGCACCTCTGTTCACCTCTCCTTTTCGCCTCAACAGGGCATGCTGCAGTACTTCATCAGAGTGCAGCTGGACGCGTCCCAGTACGTGGACCCCTCCATCCATCCGTGCAGGCACATCTTTACATCCCTTTCCACCTCTTTTCACCACCTCTCACCTCCTTTCACCGCAACAGGGCATGCTGCAGTACTTCATCGGGGTGCAGCTGGACGCCTCCCAGTACGTCGACCCCTCCATTCACGGGCTACAGGAGAAGCTCGCAACCGAGGGAGAGAAGATTGTGAGTGCCACGGGTTACCCCGATGCAGCGTGTTATTGTGTTACCGTGTTACCTGTTGAAGTCTGGTTGTCCACCCACGGGCTACAGGAGAAGCTTGCAACCAAGGAGAGAAGATTGTGACTGCTGCCTGTTGCCAAGACATATGCTGAGTGATACAAACTTCAGAGCCTAGACCACTAAGTCGCCTCAAAACTTCATTGCTAACTGTGCTGGAAATCCAGAGTTAAGTGTCTCTTGGTAGGCCAAGTAACCAAGTGTTCAGCTTTGGCAATTTCTCATATCGTCAAGTGGCCTACTTGTGAGGCACTTAACAAGAAGACCATTTGAGAATTCAGTTCGACATGAGAGCCTTGTGACTTCTGCATGCTACTACATTTCTCCTCCCTGAGGTTCATGATCCCGTCTGCATGATCCCGTCTGCATGATCCCGTCTGCATGATCCCGTCTGCATGATCCCGTCTGCATGATCCTTTCTCTCACGTAGCAGGTGTTGAAAGCACCCAACAACGTGCGGGGAGCAGCCAGGGAGCTTGTTGATCCCCTCCCTTGCATGCACTGCCCTCTCTCCTCTCGTTGAGTTGCCCTCTCTCGCCCCCTGCCCCTTGCCCCCCCTTGTGTATTCTCCCTCGCCTGTCCCTCTGCAGGTGCTGGAAGCAGCCAACAATGTGGAGGAAGCAATCAGGGAGCTCGCAGCCTATCTCCTCCCACCCGCCCCTCTCATTCGCTTACCCTCGCCCTCCTCCTGCCCGTCCGCTCGTCCTCTCTGCTGTGGTGTTTCCCCCCCGTCCCTCTGCAGGTGCTGGAAGCAGCCAACAACGTGGAGGGAGCAGTCAGGGAACTTGCCGACCCTGGTGCTGTGAGTGCCCTCCCTCTCCTCTCCTCTCCTCTCCTCTCCTCTCCTCTCCTTTCCTCTCCTCTCCTCTCCTCTCCTTTCCTCTCCTCTCCTCTCCTCGCCTCTCCTCTCCTTTCGCTCCTCTCCTCTCCTCTCCTCTCCTTTCGCTCCTCCCCTCTCCTCTCCTCGCCTCCTCTACCTCCTTTCCTCTCCTCCCCCCTCCTCTCTCCTCCCTCCTCTCCTCCCTCCTCTCCTCCTTCCTCCCTCTCCTTCCCCCTTCCTTCCCTTACCCTCCCCCTCCACCATCGCCCTCCTCCCTCCCAACCCTCCGCCCCCCCACCCTCCTCTCTCCTTTCTCCCGCGTTTCTTGCTCCAGCCTGTCCCTGTTTTTTTTTGCGTCGCTAAGAGAAACGAATGAAAGAACTCACCACAAGGTGAAAGAAATTACTGCGAGGTGACAAGTTTTGAGACGTCTCAAGAAACGAATGAAAGAACTCACCACAAGGTGAAAGAAACTACTGAGAGGTGATAAGCCCAGCCCAAGGTGATGTGAACCCCACCTTGTCATTTCCTTCTGCCTGGCACACCCAAGCTGGTCCTTCTTTTCTTTCCTTCCTCCTGCCACACCTGCTCTGCTCCTTTCCTTCCCGTCCTTGCTCTGCTCGTCCTCTGTGAATTGTGGGTCGTGCACAGCACACGGTGCAGTCAAGTGGCAAGCCACTCACACGCGTGTCCTCTCCCTTGCCATCCGCCCTGCTTCTTCCGCTCTCTCCCCTTCCCCACTCTGTCAGGCCGCTGGGGACCTGTGGGCCGTGCACACGGCGCCAGTGGCAATCAAGCGAGTCAACGCAAGTCAACGATATCCTTTTCCCTCTCCCTTCCCTTCTCTGCAGGCCGCTGGGGACCTGTGGGCCGTGCACACGGCGCCAGTGGCAATCAAGCGAGTCAACGCAAGTCAACGATATCCTTTTCCCTCTCCCTTCCCTTCTCTGCAGGCCGCTGGGGACCTGTGGGCCGTGCACACGGCGCCAGTGGCAATCAAGCCGCACAAGACTGGCGACCCTGCATGGCAGGCCATTCAGGAGGTGAGCTGATAATTCTGTAGACATAAGTACACTCTTATAACATACGTTTTTTCAAAGAGGAGGGTTGCAGGAGGGGTTCAAGCAGTGGCAGTCAAGCCACACAAGACTGGTGACCCTGCATGGCAGGCCATTCAGGAGGTGAGCACTATGTAAATGTATATGCAGTATGTCGTAGTACATATATAGCATATGTGTGTGTGTGTGTGTGTGTGTGTGTGTGTGTGTGTGTGTGTGTGTGTGTGTGTGTGTGTGTGTGTGTATTAAGCTTATGCTTGTGCTTGCGCTTGCTTGCTCTTGGGTTCCTGGAAACCGAGCTTCACTTTGTGTCATGTGGGGTGTGTGCGTGCGTGGGTGCATGCATGCATGCATGCGTGCGTGTGTGTGTGTGTGTGTGGGTGGGTGCATTCGTGCGTGTGTGTGCATGCTTGCCTTTATTTGCTTCCATCAGGTGATTAAGAAGGACGGAAAGCTCAGCCTGAAGCACTTCCGACCAATCAAGCCTTTGGGCGCTGGAGACACGGGCAGGTGAGCGGGCAGCTGGAACAAAGTCTGAAAGCAGTTTCAGTCCATCTGGTTGATATGGGAGACGCGGACAGGTGAGCGGGTAGCTGAAACAAAATCGGAAAGCAATTGAAGTATGTCTGGTCGAGGTGAGGAAAAGGAGATGATGATGGATGGGTGGGTGGATAGGACAGCATATATGTTGACTTTTGAGTCGTCTCAAAAGTCAACTAGCAACTGGAGTACGTCTTTTCGAGGTGAGGACAAGGAGATGATGATGGATGGGTGGATAGGACAGCATATATTATGCTCACTTGCCCTCTCACCCCTGCCGGCCCTTGTCACCTACCAGTGTGCATCTGGTGGAGCTGAGGGACACAACCCGTCTGTTCGCCATGAAGGCGAGACAAGGAGGCGATGGTGATGGTGATGGTGATGGGTTTGTGTTTGTGTGTCCCCATGCTCACGTGGCTCTGCCTCTGTCTGCCCCTCTGTCTCTCCCCTCTTTATCTCCCCCATCCACCTTTCCAGCGTCCATCTGGTCGAGTTGAGGGACACGGACCGTCTGTTCGCAATGAAGGCAATGGACAAGGAGGTGATGGTCAACCGCCCACCCTTACCCATGCTTGCACCCCTCTCTCCTCTGTACGCTACCCTCTGTCCCCTCACTCCCTGTCACCAGCGTGCATCTGGTGGAGCTGAGGGACACGACCCGCCTGTTTGCAATGAAGGCGATGGACAAGGAGGTGATGGTGATGGTGATGGTGAATGGTGAACCGCCCACCTAAGCCCCCCTTTACCTACCCATGCGTGCTTGCCATTCGCTCTCCCCCCCTGTTTCCCCCTATCCAGCGTGCACCTTGTGGAGCTGAGGGACACGGACCGTCTGTTCGCGATGAAGGCGATGGACAAGGAGGTGATGGTGAATCGCAACAAGGTGCACCGCGCCTGCACGGAGAGGGACATTCTTGGGAAGATCGACTTCCCCTTCCTGCCCACGCTCTACGCCTCCTTCCAGGTACGACCTTCACCAGGTGGCGCCTGGTAGAGCGCAGGCAGGTTGAGCTGTGCATGAAGCCTCCCTTGCACATGGTGAGGTGAAGCTGGCTGTACCCTGTGACGAGGTAGTGCCTTACCCTGTGGCGCGATGGACAAGGAGGTGATGGTGAACCGCAACAAGGTTCCTTACCTTGTGGGCCGCATCCACTTCCCCTTCCTGCCCACGCTCTACGCCTCCTTCCAGGTGCGACGTGCCTCCTTCCAGGTGCGCCCTGCCTCCTTCCAGGTGCGCCCTCCCTCCTTCCAGATGCGCCCTGCCTCCTTCCAGGTGCGCCCTGCCTCCTTCCTTCCAGGTGCCACCTGGCTCCTTCCTTCCAGGTGCGCCCTGCCTCCTTCCAGGTGCGCCCTGCCTCCTTCCAGGTGCGCCCTGCCTCCTTCCAGGTGCCACCTGGCTCCTTCCCGATGCGCCCTGCACTAGATAGTGCCTCCACCGCTTCAGCAACAGGTATTGCCTACACCAGGTGGCACCTGGTATTATCAAAAACACCCTTCCTGTTTTTTCCTCTCCCCCTTTCCCCCCAGACCGCCACGCACGTGTGTCTCATCACGGAGTTGTGTGCAGGCGGCGAGCGGTACGGTGGCATTCGGAAGAAGCAGAAGGGCAAGGGTCTAATGCTCTTTACTCCCCATGCCCCTTCCCTGCTTCTCCCGCCCAGACCGCCACGCACGTGTGTCTGATCACGGAGTTGTGTGCAGGGGGCGAACTTTACGGCATTCGGGAGAAGAAGTGATGTTCTGATGCCCTTTTTCTCTTGCTCCCCTTGCCATTTCCTCTGTGTGTGCCCCCGCCAGACCGCCACGCACGTGTGTCTCATCACGGAGTTCTGCGCGGGGGGCGAGCTGTACGGCATTCTGGAGAAGCAGAAGGGCAAGCGCCTGCCCGAGGCTGCTGCACGTTTCTTCGTGGCGGAGGTGCTGCTGGCTCTCGAGTACCTGCACTGCCAAGGTGGGGGGGTGGGAGAGGGGGTTGAGGGTGGTGTTATGTAGCACGATGTGGCGTATGCCACGAGTGTCTCAGGCTGCTGCGCGCTTCTTTGTGGCGGAGGTGCTGCTGGCTCTCGAGTACCTGCACTGCCAAGGTATTTGCGCACATGATACACATGATACACATGATACACATGATACACATGACACACATGACACACATGACACACATGATACACATGATACACATGACACACATGATACACATGACACACATGACACACATGATACACATGATACACATGACACACATGATACACACATGGTGTGCATGCATGTATGAGTGGGTGCTCCCAGGCTGCTGCGTGCTTCTTCGTTGCGGAGGTGCTGCTGGCGCTCGAGCACCTGCACTGCCAAGGTGGGGGGGGGGATCATGAGTGTGTAGCATGCGCCACGTGGCATGCATGAGGTACGGGTGTGCCAGTCAAAGGTGCTGCTGGCACTCGAGTACGTGCACTGCCAAGGTGGGGGGGTATACACATGGTACACACATGGTGTGCATGTTACGTGTATGTATGAGATGGTACACACATGGTGTGCATGTTACGTGTATGTATGAGAATGTGCTCCCTGTCTCCCACCCGCTTCTTTGTGGCGGAGGTGCTGCTGGCGCTCGAGTACCTGCACTGCCAAGGTGGGCGGGTGGGCATATCGTGTGTGTGTAGCATGCTGTGTTATATGGTTTCGGGTTTAGCATGTGGTAGGGGACGGGTGAGAGAGAGTGCTCCCAGCCTGTTGTGCTCTCTTGGTGCGACTTTTGAGAATTCTTAAAAGTCGCACCAATATTGCTGTGTTATATGGTTTAGGGTTTAGCACGTGGTATGGGATGGGTGAGAGAGAGTGCTCCCAGCCTGTTGTGCTCTCAGTTAAGCCATGCCATGCTGATCGACTGAGACTGTTGTGCTCTCAGTTAAGCCATGCCTTGCTGATCGACTGAGACTGTTGTGCTCTCAGTTAAGCCATGCCATGCTGATCGACTGAGACTGTTGTGCTCTCAGTTAAGCCATGCCTTGCTGATCGACTGAGACTGTTGTGCTCTCAGTTAAGCCATGCCATGCTGATCGACTGAGACTGTTGTGCTCTCAGTTAAGCCATGCCATGCTGATCGACTGAGACTGTTGTGCTCTCAGTTAAGCCATGCCATGCTGATCGACTGAGACTGTTGTGCTCTCAGTTAAGCCATGCCATGCTGATCGACTGAGACTGTTGTGCTCTCAGTTAAGCCATGCCATGCTGATCGACTGAGACTGTTGTGCTCTCAGTTAAGCCATGCCATGCTGATCGACTGAGACTGTTGTGCTCTCAGTTAAGCCATGCCATGCTGATCGACTGAGACTGTTGTGCTCTCAGTTAAGCCATGCCATGCTGATCGACTGAGACTGTTGTGCTCTCAGTTAAGCCATGCCATGCTGATCGACTGAGACTGTTGTGCTCTCAGTTAAGCCATGCCATGCTGATCGACTGAGACTGTTGTGCTCTCAGTTAAGCCATGCCATGCTGATCGACTGACCCTGTTGTGCTCTCAGTTAAGCCATGCCATGCTGATCGACTGAGACTCCAAACCATAGGCTTGATTACAAACCCTGTGCCTTTGATATTTTGATATCCATTCCAGGAGTGGTGTACCGTGATCTCAAGCCCAAGAACGTGCTGGTGCAGGAGTGCAGGAGTCAGGCCATGCCATGCTCAGAGATTCCGACCCTCAATCGTATCCTTGAACCCCTAACCCTGTACCTTCATCCCATCCCACACACTTGTTGTGCACCACAGGAGTGGTGTACCGTGATTTGAAGCCCGAGAACGTGCTGGTGCAGGAGTCAGGCCATGCCATGCTCACCGATTTCGATCTCTCCTTCAGCACCGAGTGCAATCCCAAGGTTCGTGATGCTCCTGCCTGCCTGGGTTGACTCTGTTGACCAGTGGTGACTTGATTGACTGGCGTTGACCTCTCCTTCAGCACCGAGTGCAATCCCAAGGTTCGTGATGCTCCTGCCTGGGTTGACTCTGTTGACCCGCGTTGATTTGATTGACTGGCATTGACCAGCACCGAGTGCAATCCCAAGGTTCGTGATGCTCCTGCCTGCCTGCGTTGACTCTGTTGACCAGCGGTGACTTGATCGACTGGCGTTGACCTCTCCTTAACCACGTAGTGCAAACCCAAGGTACGAAATGGGTGAATTTGGGAGGAAATGGGTCAAACAGCCGCTTTTCAATTTGTACCTAATTTCACCGCTTTGCACCCCGTCCATCCCCACCCACCCTTCTCTCTGGCAGTTCGAGTTTCCCCCCGTGCCGCCTGATTTTGAGAATTGCAAGAAGAAGGCGGCCCAGGTGGGGTGTGGCGGCGCCACCAAGGGCCCGTCTCCTACCGAGCTGGAGCTGGAGCTGCTGCTAGCGCTCGTGGCCGAACCAGAGGCAACGAGCAACAGCAGCAGATGCTCTAACAGCTGCTTTTTACCCAACTCCTGTACCCAATTTCACTGCTTTGCACCCCGTCCAACCCCACTCTTCCTTCCACCAGCTGGAGTTCCCCCCGGTCCCACCTGATTTTGAGAAGCGCAAGAAGAAAGCCGCCCAAGTGGGGTGCGGAGGAGCCTCCAAAGGCCCGTCTCCTACCGAGCTGGAGCTGGAGCTGCTGCCCGTGCTCGTGGCCGAACCAGAGGCGACGAGCAACAGCTTTGTGGGCACGGAGGAGTACATTGCCCCGGAGATCATCAGCGGTACCGGGCACAGCAGCCCCGTTGACTGGTGGACCTTCGGTGAGTGCGCTTTGTGCCTGGACCCGGCTAGTGTCCGGCTATAAGGTGGGGAGGATTCGGCCAAACAATCCCCCAAGTCCAATGGGAGGCTAGGGGGCGACGAGCAACAGCTTTGCGGGCACGGAGGAGTACATTGCCCCGGAGATTATCAGCGGTACCGGGCACAGCAGCCCCGTTGACTGGTGGACGTTCGGTGAGTGACCCACGCCTTTGTGGGCAGGCTGTGGGTGAGAGCCTGGTGTGCTTTAGCCTTTAGCTAGTGTTTGGCAGTGGGGACGGTGAGGGTGAGGGCACGGCTAAGCCCAATGGGAGCCGGATGTGACAAGCAGCATATGTGCTTCTTTTATCATTTGACGCGTTTCGAAACCTTGACACGTCGCAAAATTCGTTGCTCACATCGTTTCAATCCTTGACATGTTCCCTCAATCCCCCCCGCTCCACGCTTTCCAGGAATCTTCCTGTACGAGCTGCTGTACGGACGCAGCCCCTTCCGCGGGCGCAACCGCCAGCGCACCTTCACCAACGTTCTCACCAAGGACCTCGCATTCCCCGCTAACCCGCCGGTACGTATGTGTTTCAACACTTATCTCTGTTGACCAATGATCACTGGTCAGCGCACCTTCACCAACGTGCTCACCAAGGACCTCGCATTCCCCGCTAACCCGCCGGTACGTATGTGTTTCAACACTTGTCTCTGTTGACCAATGATCACTGGTCAGCGCACCTTCACCAACGTGCTCACCAAGGACCTCGCATTCCCCGCTAACCCGCCGGTACGTATGTGTTTCAACACTTGTCTCTGTTGACCAATGATCACTGGTCAGCGCTCCTTCACCAACGTGCTCACCAAGGACCTCGCCTTCCCTGCTGAACCTCCCCGACATTTGGCTTCGTGGGTTGCTTTCCAACCTTCTCCCAAATAAAGCCCAGCCCGCCCCTCCTCTCCCCTCTTCCCCCACTCCTTGCCCCACCGTCTCTAGGTGTCGGACGAGGCCAAGGATCTGATGCGCAAGCTGCTGCAGAGGAACTCGTCAGCTACCTCCCAACCCACCCCCCCTCTCAACCCCCCTCCCCCGTTCCCCCTTCGGTTCTTCCCTGTTTGTCCAACCGCATGCAGGTATCAGATGAGGCCAAGGATCTGATGCGCAAGCTGCTGCAGAGGGACCCGGCGGACCGCCTGGGGGCGAAGCACGGTGCCATTGAGATCCGATCACACCCCTTCTTCAAGTCCATTGAATGGCCGCTCATTCGCGACATGGTCAGTGTCTTTTCTTACCTACACAGCGCACTCTCCCACACTCTCGCACGGAGATTCCAGCACACCCCTTCTTCAAGTCCATTGAGTGGCCGCTTATCCGCGACATGGTCAGTATGAACTCCCCTTATCTCCTTTTTGTACAACTCACTCTCTCTCATGGTGCCGTTGTGATCCGAGGTCACCCCCTTATTCAAGTCCATTGAGTGGCCTCTCATTCGCGACATGGTCAGTAAGAGCTCTCGTAACTCACACTCCCCCTCTCACCCAAGTCTCCTCTTGCGTGGCGCGGTTGAGATTTGAGCGCACGCCTCTGTCAAATCCATTGAGTTGCTGCTCATTCGTCACATGCTCACTTCAGTTGCACCTACACATCTTCACACTCCCCGATTTGCATGCGCACAATGAGAAAAAAACCCATCCACCATCGCATAACATGCCCGGCCGATTGTTTCGCACACCATGTCTAACCCGGCCTTACCTGTCACATTGGTTCTTTTGGCACGTGAGCAGAAGCCCCCGCAGTTGCGTGTTCTGGTGAAGGTGATGCCAGCACAGGCGTGCTTCCCCTTTCTCTTTCTCACACATTTCCATTCTCCCAACTCTGTTCACTGCTATCCCTCTTGTGAGCAGAAGCCGCCGCAGCTGGATGTGCCAGTGAAGGCGATTTCGGCAGAGGCGGAGGAGGGAAGGCCGTCGACAGCGGAGGAGGAGATGGACTGGGATGAGAATGAGGCCAGGCCGTCTACTTCGCTTGACTATGGCTACTGACCTCTAGTTGCTGCTGCGTGGGAGAAAAAAATGTTTATTGTAGAGACGGTGTGAAGGTTGTTTTTTTATGTGTGCATGAACGTTCTAATTAGTCTGTTTTATGTCAGCTTAGGGAGCACATATGTAGCAGGAATTTAATTGTGGTTGTGTGTACAATAGGGTAGTATTGTAGTTTGTGACTATCTTTAGAGAAAGTACTACTGAAATGCTCAACTGCTTTCGAACCCAAATCAACCTGCCCCGACCGGGAACTGATACAAGTCGGTGAACCACAAGGTTCATTTTGTCCGACATTGACCAAGCACAAATATCGAGGCATGTCGTCTGAGTTTACCTGGATGCGGTCGGTTAGTGGTGCTTTGCGTTTCACCTGGCTGCTATGGCTGCTGTGCATGTCTCGCGGTATTTCCTACCTAGTCCAGTGCTCATGGCGTCGAGGCGCCTACAGCCTTCAGTGTATGGTGTATGCGTTTTATATTCCTCTGGCGCGATTCTGGATACTGTGTTTGTGAGTTGTAGAAAAAATACCGTGACACAATGCTCCCTGGAATTTATCGTTCAGTGAATGGTTTCTTCGAGCCATTCGACTCGCTGGCTTGCCAGCGTATTCTCAGGGCTGCTGCGAATGGCGAGGAAACCGTGGTTGTCGGTCATTCTACGATCGTTTTAAGGACCATGGAAGAGGTGACGTCAGGCTGGCGACGACAGCGCATTCTAATGGTTCCGCATTTTGAGCTTGACAACGTAAAACACCTCGCCAGTCCTGTGGGGATTACGGTAAGTACTTTTGTAAGCGCTGGTCTGCCTGAAATTCTCGAATTCATGTTGTGGTGATTGGTGTGAGCAGTTCTGGATGAAAATTCTTATGGAGGTCCTCTCAGAGGCTTACCTTAGAGAAGCAGTTGAAAGAATGGTGACGCCTAACTATTACGTTGACACCATCAAGCCGAGGCACAGCTTCACCAACGATACTTTCCTTGTTGATCAATTCGCGAATACCCTTACAAGCCTTTCTTTACGTGATGCTGAGCATATCCTTGGTAAGTAAATCCCACGTGGTGGATATGAAAAAACTTCTTGGCATGCGTTTTTTTCACCGCTTGATTTCATTTTTTTCAACTTTCTCACAAGCGTGAACTTCATTCACCATTCCCAGGTAAGGTTTTCCAGAAGTTTGCTCCAGGAATGGTGGGAAAAGCTGAGCTGGTCTTTCATGGAACTCCATCCAAGAACGTCAACTCAATTATGACAACTGGAATGGATGCAAATTGTCGTAGAAGTTCTCCTCTTGGGGATTGGTTTGCCAAAAGTTTGAGCATGCCCTTGCAGAAGGCATCGGGCTTCAGTGGAACAGGCACAGTGATTGTCTTTCTGGTGCTTGCGACCAGTGATGCACTGGTGCAACATTACAACGGAGGAGATTATATTATCCTCAATAGCTCCAAATATCAGCTGCCACTCGCTACAATAAATGTACGCAGTTAAACCTGCCAGGGGTTCCGTGTGGTACGGTATGATAGTGGTGGTATCAAGGAGTAAGTGTTCTACTGTTTTAGGCACATTGTGTGCTTTGCTGTACATGCCATGACTTCAGTGCCTGCCATGCCCTCACCCTCACCTGTCTGGAATGCTCATGCTTTTGTCAGCCAGCAATATGCAAGCAACCATGCAACCTCAGTAATAGGGTATATCAGACACATCCTTGTTATACATTACCATACCATTCATTGCAAATTAGTGGGATCAAAGAAAATTAAACTCGACCAATATATTTTAAACAACCTTGAAGTATTTGCGTGTCACTGTGAGCACACAGCGTACATACACATCTGATACAGCACATCTTTGGGAAAGTATCACCTGCCATTTTGACCCCCACACACTACGATGCACTGAAACCCTTGCCGGCCCATTCAGTGCTGTTGCTCCCTCTCCTCCAGCTGCATCTGTTGCCCTGCTGTGAAAAGCAACTGGAGAAACGAGATCATTCACGGTCTCATACGGCACGTTCTTGGGAAGGTTCCAGTTGATATTGTCGTTCATGCCCACGCTCGTGCGGAAGCGCTCAAACCTCTCCCGCCCCACCCACTGGTACTGTACCCGCTCTATGCCCCACCCCCTTCCATTCTAATACGGCACGTTCTTGGGCAAGTTCCAGTTGATGTTGTTGTTCATGCCCACGCTCGTGCGGAAGCGCTCAAACCTCTCCCGCCCCTTCGCCGTTGCATCCTTCTGCTTCATCTGTTGCTGCTGCTCTGGTGTTCGCCACCCCAACTGCCGTGTTGCCAGCCCCATGGCTCGATACCTGCAGGGAGGGGAAGAGAGAGAGATTGAAAGGAAAATCGACTACATGAGAACATTGCTGCTTCAGCTGTTGCTGCTGCTCTACCGTTCGCCACCCCAACTGCCGTGTTGCCAGCCCCATGGCTCGATACCTGCAGAAGGAGAAAGGGGCGGATGGAGCATATGATTGGAGCAGAAGTGAAGGCTATTCTCCCTGGTTCGCCAAGCGATAAGAGAGTGTGTTTGAGACGTCTCAACAAGGAGAAAGGAAAAGGTGGGGGGGGATGGAACATATGATTGGAGCAGAAGTGAAGGCTTTGCTCCCTGGTTCACCAAGAAGCCCAGGGCTGCCACATTGCCAGCCGCATGGCTCGATACTTGCAGGGAGATGAACGTGCAGGCAGGGGGAGGGGCGGGGGAGAGGAGGGCGACACTGTACAATACAATGAACGTGAAGCAAGAAAGGTGGCCTTTGTCGACTTCTCCCGGTTTGCAATTGGCCAGCAGTTGCAAGTGTTGGTACCAGGAAGCAATAGGGGTGAGAGGAGGGGGTGCCAATACGAGGCAGTGATTCCGTGGGAAAATGCATGAGCTGATATTAGGCACGCATGGGCTGGGTGGCGCTATCGATTTTCCAGGTTTATTTTTCATCAACAGCTTTGTTTGATGACTTCAACTTTTGCAAAAGTGAGAAATGAAGAAAACGGGATCGCACTCACCTGGCGAGAACCGATGCCACGAGGCGCGTGTTGCTGTCTCCCGTCGGTTTCGGTTTCTGGCGATAATATCTCGCGAGATCCCGCGAGCCAATCACGCGCTTCGTGCCGCATGCGCCCTTATCCGCGCCCCTGCTCCCCTTCCCTGCTGCAGCATTGAAAATGATGAGCTCCATGCCCCCGCTGGTGAGCGCCACATGCGGACGGGTCTCGTCAGCCACAATGAGCTCACGACTCGTGCCCTCCTCGTAACTGGGGGAGGGTGTGAAGGGAGGAGAGCATGTGAGAAAGGAGGAGAATGATGAGCTCCATGCCCCCAGTGGTGAGCGCCACATGCGGACGAGATTCGTCGGCCACAATCAGCTCGCGACTCGTGCCCTCCTCGTAACTGGTGGAGGGTGAGTAAGGAGAAAGGCAGAGGGGAGATTGTTCAAATGAGAAAATGAGAGAAGAAGAAGGTGAGGACAGCACAGGGGAAATTGTGACAGGAAATTCTTGAACTGGGAAAAGGAACGCGTATTATGATGATCAGTAAGACGTGAGGGGTTTCTTAGGCGCCTCAAAAGTACATGAAAATGTCGTGTGCCATTGTAACAAGGTGACTTTTGAGTCGACTAAAACGAGGTGAGTTTTGAGTCAAACCAAAAGTCACGTCTTTCTTTTTGGCGCCTCAAAAGTACAGGAAAGCAAGACTTGTTGAGAATCAGTAAGACGTGGGGGAATCTGTACTTGTTGGATATGATCGATTGAAACTGGAAAGTGTCAGAAAGAATGCTAACAACATGCAGTCCAATGTGCATGACGCTTCCAGGCATTTTCTTTTCATCTCTTCACTCGCATTAGGGCACATTCAACACTTTCCAGAACGGATCGATGCACCACATTGCACCCCTTCATACCCCATGACACACCTCCGCCACCCCAGACCCATCCCCATACCGCAGCTTTGCACGACTCTTCGCCTCCATGTGCGGCCTCACAGCCTCTACAGAGCTGAACTGACACAAAAACCAAAGCCCTGAGCTACGAACGCACCTGGTGCTGAAGTCATAGAAATCTTCAAGTTCTTCCTCCGCCACGCCGGACCCATCTGGAACCCTAAACCTCTTGACCCCGCGAACACACCTGGTGCTGAAGTCGTAGAAATCTTCAAGCTCCTCCTCCGCCACGCCGGACCCATCCCCATGCCGCAGCTTCGCATGGCTCTTCGCCTCCATATGCGCCCTCACAGCCTTTATGCGCCCTCACAGCCTTTATGCGCCCTCACAGCCTCTACCAAACTAAACTGCTAAACTGTCTAACCCGAAACCCTGAAGCCTGAAACCGAGACCGAAACCTTCAATTCGTAAACGCACCTGGTGCTGAAATCGTAGAAGTCTTCAAGTTCCTCCTCCGCCACGCCAGACCCATCTCCATACCGCAGCTTTGCATGGCTCTTCGCTTCCATATGCGCCCTCACAGCCTCTACCGAGCTGAACTGCTTGCTCCGATCGTCACACCACAGGCACATGCGCCCCTGGGTCACTTTCGCAGCCAGATACTGTAGCATCCCTTGCAGATCCGTGAGGAACTCCATATCGGGGATGAAGAACCCGTGGTGCCTGTGCATGTGCTCCACACACTCGTCCACCCCACCCTTGTTCTTCTTGTCGCAGAAAAAGCACTGGGATACGTCCCACTCCCCTCCTCCCCCTCCCTCTCCTTTGTCCTTCGTCTCTCCCTCCGCTTCCTTCCCTTCTGCCCCCTTGCTTCCTTCTCCCTCCTCTCCTCCCTCCTCTCCCTCTTCTCCCTCGTCTACCTCCTCCCCTTCCTCCGCCAGCAAAGCAGCAGCCTCATCCTCATCCACCTCTTCCCACTCTTCCTCCTCCTCTTCCTCCTCCGCCTCCTCCTTCTCATCCTCTCCCACCACCCCCTTCCCTTTATCCTTAACCCCAACGCCCGTTCCTCTATGCGCCACCACAACCGGTTTCGCCTCAACCCTCCGAATCACAGGCCTGTAAGGGTCCAAAACCCCTGAACCCTGAACCCCGGCCCCGATAATGCCTGCCCCAGTAGCACCTGCCCGCGCGGCCGCCACAGCAGCAGCGGCCTTGGAAGCGTGCAGCTTGGATCGCAAATGACTCGCATGAGCTGATTCGCTATTGTACTTCTTACTGCAAACCACGCATTCGTATATCAACCACCCGCCAGCTGCTACTGGCGCTCCTCCCCCTGACGCAATTCCCCCAGGCGCAACCCCCCCTGCACCCCCACCCACGTCTCCCCCTGCTGCGATGTCCCCGGAAGCGGCTGTAGCTGCTGCTGCCGCCGCCGCGGCCGCTGTCGCCGCTGCGACCGCGCCGCGCTTTCCCCCAGAAACGGCGGCGGCGGCTGCTGCTACGGCCTCCTTTCGTTTTTCAAACCACTGCTCGGTCACCCCAGGGAGACCTGCTACCTGGTAGAAGAGAATTTAAAAGGGGAAAAAGTGGAAACAAAAAAATGATCGGAGATGCATCACCCAAGGTGCAAATGTCTAACAGAATTCGGTGCTTTTGCGCTTCTCATACCACTCCTCGGACTTTCCGGGGACAACTTACTACCTATGTTAGAAAGGGAAGCAAAACGGAGAGGACAGAGGAGGACGAAACAGTCGGAGCTATGATAGGCGACACGCGATTGTAACACCGCTTTCGCTAAATGTCGTGACGCACCTTTCGCTTGAGGTTGTAACGGTGCCAGTCGGAGCGATAGTGGGCGTTACGCGTCGGTCCATCGTCGAACCCCGCGTTACACGCGTTGCACTGCATCGCCCCCGAATCGCCGGCGGTTCGCTCCCGAATCGCAGGTGATTCGCTCCGAAATAGTAAGCGTTTCAGCAAGACCGACTGACGACCACTCAGCCACTCAAAACTGCAGCAACAATTACTGCCCACTGATAATCCGCAACGCTAACGGGTAAGTATGAATGTACAGAGCTACGGATGAAGCCTGCGCTATGGAATCCTAGAGATTCGCTCGAATGCTGAACTAACTACTTATACTACGGTTTGGCTTGAAGGGAAGGATCCTAGCAAATGGCGGTCCAGCCTAGAACCCAGCAGAAGGTTCTGAAATCAAGGGTGTGAGGCAAGATATTACCGATTTCAAACCGATCGAACCGAAGGAAGCGTCAGCAAGGGTTTTTCAAAACCTCCGTGTTTTTCAGTTTCTCGGCAAGAGGTGACTTGCCGCACACGGCTCCAAGCATGTCCACAGTGCATCGAAAGCGAGAACAAGAAGCAAAACATATTACATTTTTTTCTGACAGCATCATAATAATCTCCACACGGCTGTAAAACACGGTTATGTGTTTGACTACCTTGTGATGGATTCAGTGTTTCAGGCTACGACGTGAGTTACCCTGGTCTATGACTTATATTTTTTCGCTCACAATAATTCATGGGTACACTTCATTTTTGTAATGTAGTGCACCAACAACCGACTTGTCACGTCATCACAATCCCGAGTCAGGGATAATGAACGCGCCATGCAGCTCTCTCAGTCCACTTTGGCCACCTCCCCTCCTCCCGGCACTGCAGCAGCGCTCTCTGCCAACTGCTCGTTCATGAACCTGGGGAGAGCAGGGGGGGAGGAGGAAGAGGCGCACGAGAGATGAATCGTGATGTCACCATTCCAGTGTACCATGCAAGGCAGTCCTCTCAATCCACCTTGGCAACCTCCCCTCCTCCCAGAACTGCAGCGGCCATCTCCGCCTCTGCTCGTTCATAAGTCTGGGGACGAAGTGGGCATGCGAAATTACAGCATCCTCACGTTGAAAAAAATCCGAAATGTTTAAGCTTATTTATAGCACAGCTTTGGATAATCGGCCTTACTTGGCGAGCTTGTCTTTGGACGACTGCAGAATGTAGACCGCAAGAAACGTTGTGAGGATGAAGGCTGTGGGGGGGAGGGGGGAGGGGGGGGATGTCGAAAAAGGGGAAAGGTGCAAAAACGGTGAGTGTACAAGCTTCATCCTTACAGTGTGGACGGGGAGGGAGAGTAATGAGTAGTGAGATGAGAGTAGTGGGGGATTACTCGCAAGAAAGGAGAGAGATTGATTGAGCTCGAGATAGGTTGATATAATAGGGTATGGCTATGCGTGAGCTGGTGAGAGGGCAGGCATGGCATGCAGGGAAGGAGAAGCAGTGGAAAAGAACACGCTTGCTCGAGGCAAAGAGAACGAGGCATGGACGATACGGAATGGTAGGCAGCGAAGGAGAGGGAGGGAAGGAGAGGCAGGCGAGGAGGGGGAGGGAAGGAGAGGCACGGGAGGAGGGGAAGGGGAGGAGGGGCAGGAAAGGAGGGACAGGGGAGGAGGGACAATAGGAAAGGACATGCTTACTTGAGGCAAAGAGCACGAGGAGACCTGCTGTGACGTCCACCTCCGCATACTCGTTCCTGCGGGAGGAGGGAATCACGCACAGATAAGTCAGAGAGAGAGAGGCAGAGGGGTTGAGGGGATGAGAGGCGGGGAGCGAGCACGAGGAGACCTGCTGTGACGTCCACCTCCGCATACTCGTTCCTGCGGGAGGAGGGAATCACGCACAGATAAGTCAGAGAGAGAGGCACGTGATAGGAGTGAGAAAGGGGCAGAGGGGGTGAGAGGCGGGGAAGAGAGGCAGGGAGGAGAGGATGAGGGGCAGGGAGTGAGCAGTGGGATGAGAGGGGGTGCGGGGATGAGAGGCGGGGAGTGAGCACGAGGAGACCTGCTGTGACGTCCACCGTGCATACTCGTTCCTGAGAGGGAGAGAGAGAGGACACAGATAGAGGCAGAGGGGATGAGGGAAAGAGCAATGACACACAGATAAGGCAGAGAGCACGAGGAGACCTGCCGTGACGTCCACATCTGAATACTCGAGCCTGAGAGAGGGAAGGCGGAATGCCACAGAAAGAGAGAGGCGGAGGGGATGAGGGGCAGGGAGGAGAGGCAGGGAGGAGAGGCTGGGAGGAGAGGCTGGGAGGAGAGGCAGGGAGGAGAGGCAGGGAGGCGAGGCAGGGAGGAGAGGCAGGGAGGCGAGGCAGGGAGGAGAGGCAGGAGGTGAGGAACGGAGGAGAGGCAAGGAGGACAGGCGGGGAGCACGTGTATTTTATGAGCACGTGCATGAGCCAATGCTTGAACCAGACAACATACATGCTCCTCTTCACCAGCTCAACACTCCACCATCCCATTTCACCATCCTATGCCACCATCTCATCTCACCATCTCATCTCACCATCTCATCTCACCATCTCATCTCACCATCTCATCTCACCATCTCATCTCACCATCTCATCTCACCATCTCATCTCACCATCTCATCTCACCATCTCATCTCACCATCTCATCTCACCATCTCATCTCACCATCTCATCTCACCATCTCATCTCACCATCTCATCTCATCTCACCATCTCATCTCACCATCTCATCTCACCATCTCATCTCACCATCTCATCTCACCATCTCATCTCACCATCTCATCTCACCATCTCATCTCACCATCTCATCTCACCATCTCATCTCACCATCTCATCTCACCATCTCATCTCACCATCTCATCTCACCATCTCATCTCACCATCTCATCTCACCATCTCATCTCACCATCTCATCTCACCATCTCATCTCACCATCTCATCTCACCATCTCATCTCACCATCTCATCTCACCATCTCATCTCACCATCTCATCTCACCATCTCATCTCACCATCTCATCTCACCATCTCATCTCACCATCTCATCCCAGCATGTATCCCATCTCGCCACGTGAATCGAATGAGCACATGCTTGGATCAGCGCGCATACCAAGCCACAATACAAATGATATGCTCCAACACCCCATCACTCCAGGGCAAGCTGCCGATGCTGCTCCAAAGCATGAGCACGTGCTTGGGCCAGTGCGACTCGTTCCTGAACTTTAAGGCCAGCTGCCGACGATGATGCTCCAGGTCTGGTGGCATTTCACCATCCCGTCTCATCTCACCATGCATCTCTCTCCAACCCAACTCACCGCATCCCACCATGCATCCCATCTCACCGCATCCCACCATGCATCACATCTCATCTCACCATGTGTAGCGCATGAGCACATGCTTGGGCCAGTGCGACTCGTTCCTGAACTCCAGAGCCAGCTGCCGACAACGATGCCCACGGTCTGGTGGCATTTCACCAACCCATCTCACCCCACCATGCACCCCTCTCCATCCCATCTCACCACATCCCACTGTGAATTCCTTCTCACCGCATCTCATCTCACCACGTGTATCGCATGAGCACGTGCTTGGGCCAGTGCGACTCATTCCTGAACTCCAGAGCCAGCTGCCGATGCCGCTCCAGGTCTGACGGTGGTGAGACGTGGTATATCAAGGCACGGACGGGCATGGAAGGGCATGGAAGGGCATGGAAGGGCATGGAAGGGCATGGAAGGGCATGGAAGGGCATGGAAGGGCATGGAAGGGCATGGAAGGGCATGGAAGGGCATGGAAGGGCATGGAAGGGCATGGAAGGGCATGGAAGGGCATGGAAGGGCATGGAAGGGCATGGAAGGGCATGGAAGGGCATGGAAGGGCATGGAAGGGCATGGAAGGGCATGGAAGGGCATGGAAGGGCATGGAAGGGCATGGAAGGGCATGGAAGGGCATGGAAGGGCATGGAAGGGCATGGAAGGGCATGGAAGGGCAGGGAAGGGCAGGGAAGGGTAGAAAAGGGCAGGAGAGAAGGGAACACTACTCAGCCCCACCACTCCTCGCATCGCATGCCCCACCTCTCCTCGCATGCCCCACCACTCCTCGCATGCCCCACCACTCCTCGCATGCCCCACCTCTCCTCGCATGCCCCACCACTCCTCGCATGCCCCACCACTCCTCGCATGCCCCACCACTCCTCGCATGCCCCACCTCTCCTCGCATGCCCCACCACTCCTCGCATGCCCCACCACTCCTCGCATGCCCCACCTCTCCTCGCATGCCCCACCTCTCCTCGCATGCCCCACCACTCCTCGCATGCCCCACCTCTCCTCGCATGCCCCACCTCTCCTCGCATGCCCCACCTCTCCTCGCATGCCCCACCTCTCCTCGCATGCCCCACCTCTCCTCGCATGCCCCACCTCTCCTCGCATGCCCCACCTCTCCTCGCATGCCCCACCTCTCCTCGCATGCCCCACCTCTCCTCGCATGCCCCACCTCTCCTCGCATGCCCCACCTCTCCTCGCATGCCCCACCTCTCCTCGCATGCCCCACCTCTCCTCGCATGCCCCACCTCTCCTCGCATGCCCCACCTCTCCTCGCATGCCCCACCTCTCCTCGCATGCCCCACCTCTCCTCGCATGCCCCACCTCTCCTCGCATGCCCCACCTCTCCTCGCATGCCCCACCTCTCCTCGCATGCCCCACCTCTCCTCGCATGCCCCACCTCTCCTCGCATGCCCCACCTCTCCTCGCATGCCCCACCTCTCCTCGCATGCCCCACCTCTCCTCGCATGCCCCACCTCTCCTCGCATGCCCCACCTCTCCTCGCATGCCCCACCTCTCCTCGCATGCCCCACCTCTCCTCGCATGCCCCACCTCTCCTCGCATGCCCCACCTCTCCTCGCATGCCCCACCTCTCCTCGCATGCCCCACCTCTCCTCGCATGCCCCACCTCTCCTCGCATGCCCCACCTCTCCTCGCATGCCCCACCTCTCCTCGCATGCCCCACCTCTCCTCGCATGCCCCACCTCTCCTCGCATGCCCCACCTCTCCTCGCATGCCCCACCTCTCCTCGCATGCCCCACCTCTCCTCGCATGCCCCACCTCTCCTCGCATGCCCCACCTCTCCTCGCATGCCCCACCTCTCCTCGCATGCCCCACCTCTCCTCGCATGCCCCACCTCTCCTCGCATGCCCCACCTCTCCTCGCATGCCCCACCTCTCCTCGCATGCCCCACCTCTCCTCGCATGCCCCACCTCTCCTCGCATGCCCCACCTCTCCTCGCATGCCCCACCTCTCCTCGCATGCCCCACCTCTCCTCGCATGCCCCACCTCTCCTCGCATGCCCCACCTCTCCTCGCATGCCCCACCTCTCCTCGCATGCCCCACCTCTCCTCGCATGCCCCACCTCTCCTCGCATGCCCCACCTCTCCTCGCATGCCCCACCTCTCCTCGCATGCCCCACCTCTCCTCGCATGCCCCACCTCTCCTCGCATGCCCCACCTCTCCTCGCATGCCCCACCTCTCCTCGCATGCCCCACCTCTCCTCGCATGCCCCACCTCTCCTCGCATGCCCCACCTCTCCTCGCATGCCCCACCTCTCCTCGCATGCCCCACCTCTCCTCGCATGCCCCACCTCTCCTCGCATGCCCCACCTCTCCTCGCATGCCCCACCTCTCCTCGCATGCCCCACCTCTCCTCGCATGCCCCACCTCTCCTCGCATGCCCCACCTCTCCTCGCATGCCCCACCTCTCCTCGCATGCCCCACCTCTCCTCGCATGCCCCACCTCTCCTCGCATGCCCCACCTCTCCTCGCATGCCCCACCTCTCCTCGCATGCCCCACCTCTCCTCGCATGCCCCACCTCTCCTCGCATGCCCCACCTCTCCTCGCATGCCCCACCACTCCTCGCATGCCCCACCTCTCCTCGCATGCCCCACCTCTCCTCGCATGCCCCACCTCTCCTCGCATGCCCCACCTCTCCTCGCATGCCCCACCTCTCCTCGCATGCCCCACCTCTCCTCGCATGCCCCACCTCTCCTCGCATGCCCCACCTCTCCTCGCATGCCCCACCTCTCCTCGCATGCCCCACCTCTCCTCGCATGCCCCACCTCTCCTCGCATGCCCCACCTCTCCTCGCATGCCCCACCTCTCCTCGCATGCCCCACCTCTCCTCGCATGCCCCACCTCTCACATTCACATGGCTGGTTCTGCACCTGCTCCGCACCTGCGCTCCCTTCAAGTCACACTTCACAGCACAAGCGCATGCATCCTCCACTGCCATACGCCATCGTGGAAAAACCTACCACTCGCATCACGGTACTCACATTCGTGAGGCAGGTTGTGCACCTTCGCCTGCACTCCCCTCAAGTCGCCCGCGAAGTGGGTCTGTTGGAAGGAAGGAAGTGAGGAGGAGAAGAGAAAATGGGGTTGGAAGGCGAGTGTGTGGGGAACAGGTAAGTGAGGGAGAGAGAAGGGAGGACAGGGTTGCGGGGGGTCTGTGCAGAATCGATGAATGAAGAATGATAAGGGGGAGGAATGAGGGGGTGACGCAGCAGGAGAGGGGAACTTATAGTGTGTGTGAGGTGTTCAAAGGAATTCAATCCTGTTGTGTTGCGTGCCCCACTCACAATGCAGAAAGGGCGTCAGGATGAACAACAGGAGGGAGGGAAGGGAGGAGAGGCAGGGAGGGGAGTCAAGGAGGACAGGCAGTGCAGAAAGGCAGGCAACGAGCAAATACACTCCGTAATGAATGCAATTTTTCTAATACATGTCAGGGTAACCTTGAATGTGCCCATCACAACACAAGGTACACTGGATTTTACACTCACCAGGGTCACTTCAATGAGCGGCACGTTCTGGCTCTTCCGACCAATCACAAGCAGCCATGGCGTCACAAACTTCTCATTGCCCACTGACAGCGACCTGAGAGGGGAGAAAAGGGGGTAGAGGAAAGGGGGGAGGGAGGGGGGAGGGTTGGGAGATGGAATGGGGGAACAGAAGACAGCAATTCCAGCCACGGCGACACAAACTTCTCGTTGCCCACTGATAGTGACCTGAGAGGGGAGTGGAGGAGGGAGGAGAGGTGGGGGCAGCGGAGGGTTGAAGGTGGGAGAAAGAGGGAAGAGAGGATAGCAGCGTAGGCAGCAATACAACACACAATCATCAGCAGCAGCCACGGCAGCACAACCTTCTCGCCACGGTGGATTAGACGGTGGGGAAAAGAGGGAACGACAGAGGAAAGAAGCATAGGCAGCAATACGACACACAATCATCAGCAGTCACGGCAGCACAACCTTCTCGTTGCCCATTGACAGCAACCTGAGAGGGGAGTGGAGGGAGGGGTGGAGAAGGGTGGAGCGGCTGTAGCAAATGGGAGCGACTCAAGTGTTACATAGTGCGACGGAAGAATAACCAAGAGAAACTTCATGTGCTACACGCACAAAGCTAAGCGAGACAGGGAGTGGAAGATGAGTGCAATTGAAGAAATACCAAGAGAAACGTCACGTGCTACATGCCCAAAGCTAAGTGTGACAGGGAGTGGAGGAGGAATGGAGGAGGGGTGGAGGAGGGTGGGTGCCTGTAGTAAATGGGAGCGACTGAAGTGTTTCATAGTGCGATTGATGAATAACCAAGAGAAAATCATATTCTACTCGCACAAAGCTCTCGGCAACTCGTGTGTCACACACACTAGATTTTGTACGTGTAACAGATGAGCATGCTAAACTAGACAAAGCTAAGTGTTGCCGAGAAAGCATGTTAAGTGCATAGCACCAGCAGCATACAAACATTTTGTAAGAATTCGATACAAAACTTACATCTTATACGAATGTTCTGCCATTTCAAACCCCACAGGGCGCGGGATGGGTAAAGCCACCTGGTGCACGGAATGGGGGTTGGCAAGGAAAATTAAGATGGGAAATGAGCAAGGCAGGGAAAAAGGGATGGGAAGGGCAAGGAAGAGAAACGCGGTGAAAGGCAGGAAAATGATACAAAGGCAGGGAAGGGCAAGGAAAGTAAGATATAAAACCACAGGAAGTCAAGGAAAGACGGGGAAAGAGGCAAAAAAGTTGGGGCACGAGGCAATCGGTATGGCATGGACACGGCATCGGCATACTCTCACTACTGTTCCCAGCCACGGACAATACTCTCACGCTCTTTTCTCACGCACCCACCTCCCAGTTGATGCCACTCACTACTCAAACCAATGACCCACACACCCACTCATTCCCGAATGTCACCCACCCACCTCTCGGTTGATGCCGAATCGCGGGCAGTGCCGCCCAATGGCGTCGTGCCAGTGCGTCCGCATCTGTGGAAGCAATCAGCGCGGTACACGTGGCGAAGATAAGGGGTGAGGGAGGGAGGGAGGGAAGGAAGAGAGGAAGTTAAAGAAACATAGGGAACAAGATGGGGAACAAGTTATGTCAAGATTAGGGGGAAATGATATGCAGGATTCTCGTTATACACCAAATTCACGTACATTGTTAAACTGGCCTTTCCTTGCCAACGGCACGTAGTCTCCCACTTGATACGACGAGGCGAGATTCGCCATTGCAACCAGGGCCACGACGAATGACAGCAACATCCTCCTTATAAGCGCCATCGCTTCGACTAATAGTGATGTTTACAGATTGGGCGGGATCCCTTACGATCCCCACCTCAATACAAATGGTAGGTCTACGCAGGTCAACAGAACCAGTCTCAGAAAAATAGCAAGTGAGGTCGTGTGAAGTAGCCGCAGTTATCTAAAAAAAGGCGGAAGCTACCGGAAACAGAAGCAGTTAATAACTATTAAACAGTTCCGATATTCGCGGCGTAACGACGCCGTTTTAGATCCACGAGAGGACAGACCATGAAGGGAAAAGAAGTACAGGAGATTGGATTCTGAAATCTAGGCATATAATCTGCTTCATGGAAAGTCTGCTCCGCAGCTGACAGCAGCCAGATCCGATTAGAACTCAGGAACCGCAGGGCGTGTTTGTACGCTCAAGTTTCAACCCATCGCACAAGGTGTCGTGAACTCGAATGGAAACGTACTGCACCGTTACGTTACGTACTCGGATATAGTTACCCCGTAACCCTTGACGAAGTGTCAATTTTAAGTCAATTGTTAAAACCGGGGTGCACATTCAGCTGAATGTGCATCAAAGGTTATCCCTTGACTGAGTGGGTTACGAGGTGTGCTTTCAACCCCTTCAAGTCGAAATTCGTTTCCCCCCTCCCCCGCAATTTCGTTTCCCCACGCCCCCGCAATTTCATTTCCCCCTCCCCGGCGAAATTCGTTTCCCCCCTCCCCCGCAATTTTGTTTCCCCCCTCCCCCGCAATTTCGTTTCCCCCCCCTCCCGCCAATCTGTTTCATCCCTCCCGCCATTCGGTTTCACCCACTCCCGCCATTTCACCCCCTCCCGCCACCTACGAAATGCCCGAAGCTCTAGCGGAATCATTTTTTTGTCGCCCCTCGTGAGCCAATCACTGTTTTTCTCCAAACCCCCTTCCCAGCATCTCAAGCCGAACCGCGTGGAATGTGCACTCTGGTTTTAATAAATAAAGGACTCTAAGTATCAACATCTGATGAGTGCCAGTGGTCTAGTGGTAGAATAGCACCCTGCCATGTGCCCGGTGCAGACCCGGGTTCGATTCCCGGCTGGCACAGCTTCTTTTACATTTCGGTGTCTGTTTTTCGCACGTTCGTCTACCGTATTTCGTGAAAGCAGTGCATTTCGTCGATTTCGTGACGAAACCAAAAGCACTTCCACTGCTATGATTTTGTCGCTCCCCTGCCACATTGAACACTCTTTGCCAGACCTCATTGCCTTGCCTGTTGTTCGAGCCTCGGTTATAGCCTCAGTCCACGTGCTCATCATCCCGCAATTCTCTAGGTTTAGGCTCTAGGTTCGGGGGAACGCACCGCGTGTGCTGAAACCTTGGCTAACGAACCTGACAGGTTTCCCGCCGCACTCGGTATTCCCTATTGCGGCGGACACTCGAGCATTACGCGCTTCCAGACCATCCCACCTTGCTGGCACATAAAGCACACGTGTCACACTCTGAATCGTCGCTTATGAAACGGACACTCGCTCGACACCCCGATACCCCCTAAGGCCAGGCGACGATGTCGCCATGGGCCCCGATCATCGCAAGCCCTCGCAAGCCCACCCCGCAGGCCCTTCAGCAGCGGCCATCGGCAGGTTCCCCAGCTTGCTTCGCTCCCCCCTGCCAACCTCCCACCCCTCCCGTGCCTCTCGTCGCATTCCGTCGCTCGCTCGCTCTCACTCGCTTCTTACTCGACGCTCATCAGAGTCGCAGACGGAAAACTATAAGTAGACCTTCAGGATGTTCATTTTTTTCATCAGTCTCTATTGAAGCTACTTGCAAGTATCCTACCTTGCTCCCTCGTTACTACCAGCTGTCTAAGCCTGCTTGAGCTCTCATAACCTCACGTACGAACTCTGTCGCGGAAAGCTTAGCTTTATTTCCTACTCTCCGTCCGTCAACGAAATGGCCTGCGTTGGTGCTGAGAGTGCCTGCGTGGACGTCGACGCTCTGTTCGCGAGCTGCTGGGAGCAAAAAGACTCCCTCACTCGCTTCGTCTGCAGCATGATTGCAGCTCCACGCCTGGTAAGAGCCAATTCCTCCAAGCCATTCGCTTCAGCTCTTGGAAACCCCCGTCTCCTTTACCAGTAATTGTTTGTTCATATGCATTATCATTCGTTTGCTGGTGATTTCATGACCATTCTCGTAAACAGCAACTAACCTAACCCCTTTTTTTCTCGTGCAGGCCGTCTCCAGTTGGATCAGGCCGTGCGAGCAAGCAGCAGTGGAGGTGCAGTCGGTTCCCGCTCTTCCTGTTGTCGCTCTTCTGGAAGAATCTGCGTCAACAGATGCAGAGACAGAAACCGTCCGCCATCCCACTGACGCTGGCAAGGCGGATGCTGCAACTGTGACTGTTGCCGTTTCGAACCAGGCTGAGGAAGCAAAGAAACCGGCGGAGTTGAAAAATAAAGTGTATTCGTTCCTGGAGCTGCTTGCTCAAGAAGACTCAGTTGCCTTACCCACGGTTAAGGCTGTTGCCTCCTCAGCTAAGGTTGCGGCCTGGTTGGGTGTGGAAACCGGATCAGAGCAGGGTGGGGAGGTGGGAGCAGAGGCGAGCAGCGGGTGGAGCAGTTTGAGTCGCAGTGAGAGCAGCTGCAGCAGCCACAGTGCGTGTCTCATCAACCTCTCCTCGGACTCCTCCTCCTGCTCCTCCTCCTCCGCTCACAGCCTCTGCAGCAGCCCCACTGGCTTGACGGAGGAGGTAGCTGGTGTGAAGAGGGGGATTGGTCACGGCGTTTCCAGCATTGGGAAAGGATGCTCTCTGTCCACTGCTTACCAATTCACTGAGCTCTTGGCAGCTGAAAAAAAATCAGTGAAGAGTGGGATCGGTAAGGGTCTTTTCTGCAGTGGGAAGGACTGGAGCATGGAGGTGAAGGGGTTTGGGAAGGCGGAGCAAGGACAGACTGTCTCAAACCTTTTGTATGGGTTTGACGATGAGGACGAAGAGGAGGAGGATGGCAGCAGCAGACAAGGGTCCAAGATCTCTGGGATCGGAACAATGTGCTACATGAATCAGCTGTACATGGATGAGGAAGAGGAGGAGTGGGAGGCGTTGGCGGCATCAGGCATCTCGATTGGCATCGGCAGGTTTGGAGCCAGGCGGAGAATAACCGGCTCTAGCAGCCGGGTCACTCTTAGGAGAATGAGCGGTGCACTGAGACAATATTAGGATTTGACAAAACTAGGTAGTACTGGTAGGTAGTTTTCTTAGCTGTTGCTGTAGCAGCTGTGGCTGAAACCAGTGGTAACTGGACAGCACAGCAGACAAGACAGCAGCTAGCATGGCTGAAACCAGAGAATCTGGACTGCCACTAATGTATAATAGACTCCGTTCAGATATGACTTTTGCATGTGATGTGAATCTCTTCTGGTAACAATTGAGGAACAAGTATTAAGTCCATGCTCTTCATTTGCCCAAGCGTTGAGGTCCGCATAATACGGTATATCTGAACATGCCGAGAATCATCATCATACTGGTGCTGCAACTTCAAGCTGCATGGTTACCTTCATGCCCTTGAGGCAATCATTGCCAACACTGCTGGTAAAATATCCCGTATACGCCTCGCTGTCCGCCGAGATCTTGAAAGTGTCTTGCTTTGATGGCTTGGCGAGGACGGTGAAGGCGGTGCCAACAATGCCAAAGTAGCACGTGGAGAAGCGCGCCGCATTAATGGCCACCAGATTGTGCTTGTGCTGCCAATCATTCCACTTGAATACTGCCGTTGGGGAGAACACAAGTGCGTAAGCAAGAGGGCAAGTTGAGAGTCAGAGAGAGGGAGAGAGAGAGAGAGAGTGAGTGAGTGAGTGAGTGAGTGAGAGAGAGAGTGAGTGAGAGAGAGAGTGAGTGAGTGAGAGAGAGAGTGAGTGAGTGAGTGAGAGAGTGAGTGAGTGAGTGAGTGAGAGAGTGAGTGAGAGAGAGAGAGAGAGAGAGAGAGCGAGAGTGAGTGAGTGAGTGAGTGAGAGAGTGAGAGAGTGAGAGAGTGAGAGAGTGAGAGAGTGAGAGAGTGAGAGAGTGAGAGAGTGAGTGAGAGAGAGAGAGAGAGAGAGAGAGAGGTGCGGGTGCGGGTCAGCAACAGTAACTGACCAACTGTGTCGCCCGAGTTGATGCGGGGGGGTGGCCATGTCTTCACCTTCGGGTTCCACCGCGTGTACCTCCACCCCACCACCACCGTCTTGGCGTCCTGCCGCGCACATGGGGTGTGGGGTGTGGGGGATTGTAGGTAGTGGGGAGAGAGAGCGGGATGAGCTAACGACGGTTAGCAGCGTCTTCACCTTCGGGTTCCAACGCGTGTGCCTCCACCCCACCAGCACCGTCTTTGCTTCCTGCCGCGTGACACAGGGGGGGCGGGGAGGTGGGGGGAGAGAGGGTGGGGACTTGACATTTGAGTAAACTCAAAAGACAACGCGTGTACCTCCACCCCACCACCGCCATCTTGCCTTCCTGACGCGTGACACAGGGGGGTTAGAGGGGGCACACATGGGGGTTGGCAGGGGGGAAGAGAGCGAGATGAGCGTACGACGGTTAGAGAGGGGTAGTTTCCACGTCAACCGACTTTCGAGGCGCCGCGAGACAGGAGACGACTATCGAGGCGCCTCAAAAGTATGACGATTAGAGAGGGGCAGTTTCCACGTCAACCGAAAGCGTAAAAGTACTTTATGGCAGCTCATGGTGCCGCACTTCATGCTTGAGGGATTAAGAAGCATGGCTTCAAAAGCTCAACGGGCAGTGCAGGGTACGGGAGGTGCAAGAGCCGGGGAGGTGAGTAAGGGAGGTGCAGAGCAGGGGAGGTGGAGAGCAGGGGAGGTGGAGAGCAGGGGAGGTGGAGAGCAGGGGAGGTGGAGAGCAGGGGAGGTGGAGAGCAGGGGAGGTGGAGAGCAGGGGAGGTGGAGAGCAGGGGAGGTGCAGAGCAGGGGAGGTGCAGAGCAGGGGAGGTGGAGAGCAGGGGAGGTGGAGAGCAGGGGAGGTGGAGAGCAGGGGAGGTGGAGAGCAGGGGAGGTGGAGAGCAGGGGAGGTGCAGAGCAGGGGAGGTGCAGATCAGGGGAGGTGGAGAGCAGGGGAGGTGGAGAGCAGGGGAGGTGCAGAGCAGGGGAGGTGGAGAGCAGGGAGGTGCAGAGCAGGGGAGGTGCAGAGCAGGGGAGGTGCAGAGCAGGGGAGGTGGAGAGCAGGGGAGGTGGAGAGCAGGGGAGAGGGAGCACACATGGGGGGTAGAGAGCAAGATTAGCGTATGCTTCACGAAAGACAGTGGCGATCCAACAGGCGTTCCGATGTTTTATGGCAGTTCACAGCTTTGTGGTTGAAAGAATAAGAAGCATGGCCTTGTGCTTGAAAGATCAAGAAGCATGGCTTTAAACGGACAGCACGGGCGGCGCATAGCAGCGAAGATGCATCGGGTCGAAAGAGGAGGGCCAGGATTGGATGGTGCGACGTGCGACAGTTTGCGAAATCGAGGCGAAAGATGGAGCTTACCGCAAGAGCAACAGTGCGGATGGACGCCCACGGAGTGTCCAGCGAGCCTGCCGCACAGCACCGCACCGAACCGATCAGAACATCAAAGCAGAACACAGCAGAGTGCCGCACCGCACAGCACAGCACAAAGCACCGCATCGCACCGCACGACAAACAGCACAGCACAACGGCAGAGCACAGCAGCGCACGCACTCGCATCACAGCAGTGACTGTGCGATGCTGCGACTGCTGTCGGTCACGAAAATGTGAGCACAGCGCATCGCACTGCGATACTGTGCGATGCGCTGTGTCGTGCTGCCCGTACCGACAGTGCACATGCGGCACAACTCTCAGAGAGACACTCAGCCAGTGGGTGGTCACGTCCCCTCAACTCCGACTGTCACTACAATGAGCAGGACTCGTATACTCGCCCAGCACGCGCTTACCCGCGAGGAGCAGCAGCAGCGGCAGGCAGATGCGGCACAAATAGACGGACGCCGCCATTAGAAACGGAGGTAGTTACGCCCCCAAGCACGGAGCGTATTGGTAGGTCCGGGAATATTTGTAGGTCCGGAAGGAGAGGCGTACTAGGGTAGCAAGTGGTAGGCTGTAACAGACGGGAGAGGCGAGTGACTTGAAGTCCACGGATCGTTGACAATGAGAGCGGAGAAGGCAAACGTAAGGACTACTATCTGCAAAGGGAAGTGTGAGGTCAGTCATCTCTTATGACTCGGCTGTTGGGAGTTTCGACGCGGCTCGGCTGCTGTTGGGAATTTCGGCGCGGCTGTTCGCCCGGGAACTGTGGTAAGAGTGGGATCTGGGGAGTGGACTAGCGAGGCGATAGTGCCGGGGGCAACTGTACAGTCGGACTGTGAAAGAGCGGCAACTCTGCTTGGGATGGACGGTAGTAGGTGCCCCATAATTAGGTTCGACAGCTGGTTCGGTACGCATGCCGCGCTTGAAAATGCATTCCTGATTCCAACATTGATTCCTGAGAGCGTGTGGGGAGTGACTGTCGACATTCCTCGACAAAGCGCGTCGAGGGATGTCGATAAATCTTGACGGTCGGTGCACGCAATCCTAGGGTTGACATTTGCCGACGTTTTGTCGAGGGACTTCGATGTTCACTTCGGACACGCTCTGAAAGTGGCGAGAATACTCTTGGAAAGGTGCGATGCGGGTACAGTAGTATCGCAAGTGGTAGGCAGTACGCGTTTTGATCACAGATGGGAGAGGCGAGGAGGGCGGAGAAGGCAATCATGTGGACCATCTGAAAGGGGAAGATGCGACAAGAGAGTTAGAATGTGATCTGGTACAGCGAGCAAAAGAGAAAGTGGCTATCAAGCCAACCTCCTAGGGACAGTCACGGGTAGATGGGGATGAGAAAGATGTGACAAGCGAAGAGATGGTCTGGTTGGTCATAAAAGAGATTTGTCTAGTACGGCCGCGGTTGTTGGGAGTGAGAAGAACAGCGAGACTGGGACGGAGATCGTGGCGTGGTGTGATAAAAATAGGGGCAACTCTGCTTCGGTGTGCCCCAAAATTAGGCTCGGCAGGTGGTTTGGTAAGTTGCTTTCATTCGTGTGCGTTTGTAAAGGCGTCCCTGGTCGGGATGTTCCTGACAACAGGGTTTTTCAGAGTTGGCGCGAAAGGGTGAGCGGCGATTGCAGGCAAAAACCAACAGCATGGAATCACTAACATCTGACGGCTGGGATTCGCGCGAAACGCCAGCACTCGGTCTGGGCTGTTACAATTTGAGACTATAGGGTTGTGTTATAAAAAACCAATTGCAAGCATAAACATATGTTGAAACACGAATCTCCTTGTAGTCACAAATGTGATTTACCAGTTAACAGATGTTAACAGACGGTACGACCCGCTCTATTCATTTTTTTTTATATATACAATAACCACAAATGCTATTCCATATCGGAAATTTTATTTTTTCATATATCAACTTCGGTTAGAAAACATATTCCATTTCAGATATGATAAATTATCATAAACAGTGAGAAATAACTGTTGATTTACATATATGCTTTTGTATATGCATATCATACGCTAGGTAGCACCTTCTTGTGAGCGTTTTTTTAATGAAGCCTGGTATATGGTCACTAACGCGAAAAGCCTCCAACCATACTACAATGGGAGCCCCGAGAACTCCGACTGCCCAACCTCATCACCATGCCTGTGATCCAAACCTCCCGCGGGTTTGTCGGTCGAGGTGTTCAACATCCCGAGAGCCTGCCAGACCGTCTCTTTGCCTCGGCACTCGGTTTGGCATTCCATATCTCGTGTGCCGAAACCGTCGTCGACTTCGAACCTGACCACTTTCCCGCCTTCTGAAATCCCACCTCGCTCTCGGTATTCCCGATTGCGGCGGACCCTTAGCTCTACCGCGCTTCCGGATGACCCCGCCTCGCTGGCACATATAGCACAGGTGTCGCACTTTGAATCGCCGCTAGTAAAACGGGCACTCGCGCGACACCCCGATACCCCCAAGGCCAGTCGACGATGTCGCCATGGGCTCCGATCATTGCAAGCCCTCGCAAGCCCACCCACAGGCGTTGCGAATTCGCCCAGCAGCGACCATCGGCAGGTTCCCCTGCTTGCCTCGCTCCCCCAGCCACCCTCCCACCCCTTCCATGCCTCTCGTCCCATTCCCTCGCTCGCTCGCTCTCACTCGGTTCTCAACCGACGCTCATCAGAGTCGCTGCACCCACCAGACAGAAATTGTATAAATAGGTCGCTGGTGTTTCCCTTTCATTCATCAGTTTAAATTGAAGCTGCTTGGTAATCTTCCTACCTGCTCTCCAGTTCCTACCGGCTCCTGCGTCCGCTACCAGCTGTACAAGCCTTCTCAAGTGCTCAGGATCTACTCTGCAAACTCGTTGCGAAAGCTTAGCCGTAACCTTCCAACTCTTCGTACGTCAGCAACATGGCCTGCATCGGTGCTGAGAGTACCTGCGTGGACGTCGAAGCTCTGTTCGCGAGCTGCTGGGAGCAAAATGACTCCCTCACTCGCTTCGTCTGCAGCATGATCGCAGCTCCACGCCTGGTAAGAACCACTTCCTCCAAGCCATTCCCTTCAGCTTTCGCAAACCCTCGTCTTCTTAACCACAGTTTGTTCATAAGTGTCATCATTTGTTTGCTGGTTATGTCGTGACGCTTTTCGGAAGCAATGACTAACCTATCTTCTTTATTCTCGTACAGGCCGTCTCCAGTTGGATCAGCCCGTGCGAGCAAGCATCAGTGGAGGTGCAGCCGGTTCCCGCTCTTCCTGTTGCTGCTCTTCTAGAAGAAACAGCGTCAACAAATGCGGAACTTGAAACCGTTGCTGTGGCTGTCACTGTGGATGCTTCAACCGTGACTGCTGTCGTTTCCACCCCAATTGAGGAAGCAGAGAACCGAAGGAACCGAAGAAGAAAGCTTCTTCGTTCCTGGAGCTGCTTGCTCAAGAGGAGTCACATGCCTCACGTACCTCCTCAGTTGATTCAGTTGCCAAGATTACTGCCTCCTCAGCCAAGGTTGCGGCCTGGATGGGTGTGGAAACCGGATCAGAGCAGGGTGAGAAGGATGGAGCAGAGGCGAGCAGCGGGTGGTGCAGCTTGAGTCGCAGTGAGAGCAGCTGCAGCAGCCGCAGTGCGTGTCTCATCCACCTCTCCTCGGACTCCTCTTGCTCCTCCTCCGCTGATAGCCTCTGCAACAGCCGCACTGGCTTGACAAAGGAGGTTGCTGGTGTGAAGAGGGGGATTGGCCGAGGCTTTTCCAGCACTGGGAAGGGATGGAGCACTTCCAGCCTCTGCTCCTCGTCCTCTGCTGACAGTTTCGGCAGCTCTGCTGGTTTAACAGAAAAATACTCAGTGAGAAAAGGGATTGGTAAGGGAGTTTCCAGCACTGGGAAGGAATGGAGCATGGAGGTGAATAAATTTGGGATGGCAGAGGGAGGATGGACTGTCACTAACCAGTTGTATGGGTGTGATGATGATGATGATGAGGAAGAGGAGGAGGATGGCAGCAGCAGACAAGGGTCCAAGATCTCTGGAACCGGAACAATGTGCTACATGAATCAGCTGTACATGGATGAGGAAGAGGAGGAGGAGAGGGAGGCATTGGCAGCATCAGGCGTTTCAGTTGGTATCGGCAGGTTTGGAGCCCGGCGGAGAATTACAGGCTCTAGCAGCCATGTCACTCTCCGCAGAATGAGCAGTGTGCTTCGCCAATATTAGGACTTGACAGTATTAGCTGGTTAGAGTTTAGAGTAGCAGCTGTGGCTGGAGCCAGAGTAACTGGACTGCCAGAGTAAATGGCATGCCTCCAACACCTGGTTTTGTAAATTATTTTTATGGTACCGTACACATTTTGTTTGTCACTAAACCAGTCAATCATGCCGAATCATATGAATTCCCCTGCACGAAGTGAACTCCTCTGTCAATGCTTCAGTTCAGAATGAACCAACAAACGAAGTACCGTATGCCTTTCTTTGAGAATGGGCTGCAGCAGTGCGACAGTGACATTATTTCGGTAGACTTTTCGCACAATTCCTTCACCCATGAATGTTGCTTGCTTCTATCTACTGGTAAATAATGTCGTATCATAACAAGTGAACCTTGTTGAATTGAACAGCCAGGGCTTCAAGCCAGTCTGATTTGATCAACAACTGTAAAGCAGTCTGCTTCTACTGAGGCCAGTGCTGCTGCAAAGCGATGTGCTTCTACTGAGGCCAGTGCTGCTGCAAAGCGGTGTGCTTCTATCGGTAGCGCTGCTTGAAGAGAGAATGCCTCTTTGCTGGATCCTTGGGCTTTGCCCCTCTCCCTGCTCCCGCCCCTCCCCGTCCCCCACCCCTGCCAGTGCTGTTCGGGGAAAGGGAACAGGAAGAGAAGGATGATGTGGAAAGAAACTGCTTACTACACTTCATTCGGGGAACCTCAAAGACGCAGCTCATGCATCTCATATTGAACACCACATTTTAGCTAAACTGCACCTTGTGTATCTCAAAGTAGGTACTTATCTCATAATACCTGTTCTCTCGTCAGCTCCAAGTCTCACTCTCGGTCTTGGAAGATCCAAGTATTTTCTTCCACATACCCCGTACCCGCACGAACCCGCTGCACCCTCACCCCACCTGAACTCCATGTACGACCGCCCCTGCTCGCCGGACATGGCATTCATGGAAGCAGCGGAGCGCCTCACGATGGTGTACCATACATCCACATGCCATGACTTGATAAACACTAGATCCACATGCGCTGCAACCCACCCACCTGAACTCCATGTATGACCGCCCCTGTGCGCCGGACATGGCGCTCATGGAGGCAGCGGAGCGCCTCACCTCAGATGTCAACCATGGGTCCACATGTGCTTGAGTGTTCACCCACCTGAACTCCATGTATGACCGCCCCTGTGCGCCGGACATGGCGCTCATGGAGGCAGCGGAGCGCCTCACCTCAGATGTGAACCATGGGTCCACATGTGCTTGAGTGTTCACCCACCTGAACTCCATGTATGACCGCCCCTGTGCGCCGGACATGGCGCTCATGGAGGCAGCGGAGCGCCTCACGATGGTGGGCACGTGGCTCAGATCGTCATAATCCTCCGCCAACACCTCCTCCCTTAGTGCGTCGTCGCCTGCACTCAGCACCTGGAAGAAGGCAGAGGGGGGCAGGGAGAGGAGATGTGCAAAGAGGCACGTGGCTCAGATCGTCGTAGTCCTCTGCTAGCACCTCCTTCCTCAGGGCTTCATCTCCTGAACTCAGGACCTGGTGAAGGTCGGGGGGGGCAGGGGGAAGCGAACACAGGGAACACACCAAGAAAGCAAGGGCCTCACGATGGTCAGCACGTGGCTAAGGTCGTCGTAGTCCTCAGCCAGTACCTCCGCCCTCAGTGCCTCGTCCCCTGCACTCAGCACCTGGAAGTGACAGAGAGAATGAGAGGAGGGCAGGGGGAGAACACGTGTGAAGGCACGTGGCTCAGGTCGTCATAGTCCTCTGCCAGTACCTCCGCCCTTAGTGCCTCGTCGCCTGCGCCCAGGACCTGAGGGAGAGAAAGAAGGGAAGGGGGAGGAAAGGAAGGACCAAGGAGACGGAATGTGCAAAGAGGCACGTGGCTCAGATCGTCGTAGTCCTCTGCTAGTACCTCCTCCCTCAGTGCTTTGTCCCATGCGCTGAGGACCTGAGGGAGGAAGAAGGGAACACAGGGAACAAATCAGGAAAGCAGGAGACGCAGAGAGTGAGAAGAGGGGTGAGGATATGTGCAAAGAGGCACGTGGCTCAGGTCATCGTAGTCCGCAAAGCGGACGTGCCTCTTCGCACATGGCTCAGATCGCCGTAGTCCTCTCCTCTGCCAGTACCTCCTCCTTCAACGCCTCTTCTCCCCGCACTCAGAGCATCTCCGGCAGGGACGGAAATGAACAAAACTGCAGGAAAACCAACCAATCTGCAGGGAAAGAGAGAAAATCATAAAAGAAATGAAAAGGATCGCTGTACCTTAGTTATTGAATGGCCGTACTGATTGTCCCAAAGCACTTCAGGCAGGGAGAGGGCACTCAAGGTGGATAGCAGGTCGAGCTGCTCCTGCTTGGACGTGTAGCAGAGGTGGTTGCAAGAAAAATCCTCCTTGAAACAATGCGGGAGAGGGGACCCTCACCGTAGAAAGCAGGTCAAGCTGCTCCTGCTTGGACGTGTAGCAGAGATCGTCCCCCTCCCCCGGTGGGGGCAGCGATGTTACCACCTGTGTTTGTGGTACGGGCAGGGGTGTTGGGATGGATGGATGGTGGAATGGTGGCTGCTGTGACTGGATGCTACCCCTTGTGTGGCTTGGGCAGGCCGCAGGGCTGCAGGGGTGATGAGATTGGACGATGGGACGATGGATTAGATGGAATGTTACAGGTGGCATATGATATGGAACATGGCACATGGTATATGGCATATGGCACATGGCACATGGCACATGGCATATGGCACATGGCACATGGCATATGGCACATGGCACATGGCATATGGCACATGGCACATGGCACATGGCATATGGCATATGGCACATGGCATATGGCACATGGCATATGGCACATTACACATGGCACATGATACATGATACATGGTACATGGTGCATGGTACATGGTGCATGACACATGCGGTAAGAAAGCCCTCATTTTTCTGCATGGCAGCAGCAGTGTGTGTGTGTGTGTGCATTACCTTGAACGAGTAACCTTGATCGATGAGGAATTGTTGCCTCTTGGATGAGTAATACATCTCCTGCTCATACAAGCACACACATACAAGCACGTACTCACACACATACAACACAAACAACACATACAAGCACATACAACACATACAAACACATACAATCACGTACAAGCACATACAACACATAAAAGCACATATCATAAGTAAACAAACATGCGAAGCTGCCCTGAAGGAGGTAACAGTCTAAATGATAAATAAATCTCACAATGATCAAAACACCACACAGTTGTTGAAATCACCTGAACAATCACCTGAGTGTCACTTGACCCAAACGTGTAACAGAACACACTGTAGTGCTTTGTGTCCCAAACCATCCCGACGTCGTTCCTCCCCTTGACCCATACCTTCTCTGAACCTGCCTCAGAACTCATCTGATGAAACCACCTGAAGAATCACCTGAGTGTCGATCGACACCAGCAAATAGAAAAAAGCGTTGTAATGCTCCGTGCCCCCTGCCATGTGATCCTCCTTCTTCCCCTTGGCCTCTCAGAGCCCGTCTCTTTACAAATTTGTTGAAACCACCTGAAGAATAACCTGAGTGTCGGTCGACACAAGCGAGTAGAAAAAACGCGTTGTAGAGCTCCTTCCGCCCGTCACCCGATCCTCCTTCCTCCCCCTGGCACTCAGAATCCACCTCAGCACGCATCTGCTGAAACCACCTGAAGAATCACCTGAGTATCAGTCGACACCAGCGAGTAGAAGAACGCATTGTAGTGCTCCGTGCCCCCAGCCATGCGGTCCTCCTTCCGCCCCTTGGCCCTCAGAATGCGCCCCAGCCGCTGCGCCTCCTGCCTCCTCGACCCCGCATGGGATGAGATCTGGATGATCACATTGGCCTCGGGAATGTCAATCGAGTTGTCCCCCACCTGCCATGAGATTGCAGGGAGGAGAGAGAAGAGGGATGAGCGATGAGTGGGCCGCGGGGGGAACCGGAGGTGATGCCTCAGCCGCTGTGCCTCCTGCCGCCTCGACCCCGCGTGGGATGAGCTCTGGATGATCACGTTGGCCTCGGGAATGTCAATCGAGTTGTCCCCCACCTGCCATGAGATTGCAGGGAGGAGAGAGAAGAGGGATGAGCGATGAGTGGGCCACGGGGGGAACCGGAGGTGATGCCTCAGCCGCTGTGCCTCCTGCCGCCTCGACCCCGCGTGGGATGAGCTCTGGATGATCACGTTGGCCTCGGGAATGTCAATCGAGTTGTCCCCCACCTGCCATGAGATTGCAGGGAGGAGAGAGAAGAGGGATGAGCGATGAGTGGGCCACGGGGGGAACCGGAGGTGATGCCTCAGCCGCTGTGCCTCCTGCCGCCTCGACCCCGCGTGGGATGAGCTCTGGATGATCACGTTGGCCTCGGGAATGTCAATCGAGTTGTCGCCCACCTGCCATGAGACGGATGGGAACAGGGGAAGAGGAGTGGATGAGTGAGGAGCGGGCAGGGGGGGAACAAGAAGAGGTGCCCGAGTCCCTGTGTCACCTCCTGCCTCCTTGACCCCGCGTCTCAAAGCACAAAGCAAGGAAGGAAGACGGTAGCTTGATGGCTGAAGCTGAGGGTAACAGCAGGTCGTGCATGGAAGGTACTCGAAGGTACAGCATGGAAACAAAGGGGGGTACCTTGGAGAGGAAGACCGTGTTGACGTTGGGGCTGTTCTTGAAGGCATAGAGCACTCGGGTGCGCTCCGCATGGCTGGCGGGGAAGAGAGAAGAGGGGAGAGGAAGGATTCGTGAGTCGATTCAAAAGTAATAAAAAACCCCTTCAACGCTTATCTATTTCTTGGCTCAACCCGGGTGTGCTCTGTATGGCGGATAGATGAAGAGGAAAGTGGAAGCAGGAAGGACGGTGCTCGATAGAAGAACACCACAAGACAATTCTGAGCACACATGTGAAAGGAGGCTTGTTGGTCATTCTTTCCATTGCTACAATCACAAAAAGTCACAGTCGCACACCTGGTGAGGCCTCAACAGTTACGCACCTGGTGGGGCCTCAACAGTAAAGCACCTGGTGGGGCCTCAACAGTAAAGCACCTGGTGGGGCCTCAACAGTAAAGCACCTGGTGGGGCCTCAACAGTAAAGCACCTGGTGGGGCCTCAACAGTAAAGCACCTGGTGGGGCCTCAACAGTAAAGCACCTGGTGGGGCCTCAACAGTAAAGCACCTGGTGGGGCCTCAACAGTAAAGCACCTGGTGGGGCCTCAACAGTAAAGCACCTGGTGGGGCCTCAACAGTAAAGCACCTGGTGGGGCCTCAACAGTAAAGCACCTGGTGGGGCCTCAACAGTAAAGCACCTGGTGGGGCCTCAACAGTAAAGCACCTGGTGGGGCCTCAACAGTAAAGCACCTGGTGGGGCCTCAACAGTAAAGCACCTGGTGGGGCCTCAACAGTAAAGCACCTGGTGGGGCCTCAACAGTAAAGCACCTGGTGGGGCCTCAACAGTAAAGCACCTGGTGGGGCCGTAGATCATGGGCTTGTTAAGCTTCCTCGCGTACTGCTCCAGAGCAAACAGATTGTCCGAAAACACGATGATATTGTCCCGCCTCATGAACCACCAGACACGCATGCTCACAGTCCCATCTGGTGGGGCCGTTCTGTTGAGCACCTGGTGGGGCCGTAGATCATGGGCTTGTTCAGCTTCCTTGCATACTGCTCCAGAGCAAACAGGTTGTCCGAGAACACGATGATCTTGTCCCGCCGCTGCTCCTCATGGAAGCGAATGAGGTACTCGCACGCGCGGAACTTGTTGGGGTTCATCACGTACAGACCCTGGAGGCGGGGAGGAAGGAGGGAGGGGGGATTTGGTTGAGGAATGATTGTCCCGCCGCTGCTTCCCGTGGAAACGAACGAGGTACCCGCACGCGCGGAACTTGTTGGGGTTCATCACATACAGACCCTGGAAGTTGGGAAGAAAGAGGAGGGGGAATGTGGGTTGGGGGATGATTGTCCCGCCTCTGCTCCTCATGGAAGCGAATCAGGTACTCACAGGCTCGGAACTTGTTGGGGTTCATCACATACAGACCCTGCGATGCATGGTGTGAGGGAGGCATGGTTGTTGAAACTGCACTGAATTGAAATGCATTGAGGGAAGGAACGTGAGGCGTGGAGCGAGGAATCGAGGGACCCGGGTGTTTCTTGTCATCGTGTCACACAAAAGACAGTGCGTGGATGCGAGGGGTGACAATGCACAAAACTCGAGATCTAACACGGACAATGTGCAATGTGTGACATTGGATGAATGTTCCAGGGCAGGAGTGGGAGCGTGCTGTGAGCATGTATGTGTATCCCAACCCTGCATCTGAACTTGATTAAAGGGCCCATAGCAATGTCTCATATACTGCCAACTTTTTGCAACCCCTGCACCTGCATACACCGTACCCCCCTTGAAGCCCTAGATCTCTTGCAGCGCAGGTCACACCTCGTGTAAAGCCCAGGACCCCGGTGGCATTGAAGTTTGGACCCCTTAAAGCCCATGTCACCTCACCTGTCGCTTCCTTGCGTCGGCTCGAATGTACTCTGCATAGAACTCGCGAGTCATGGGGCACCACACCTGGTGGGGGCATGATGTGGGGGATGTGCCACCCATACATGCATGCACACAGATGCACGCACATGCACACATACATGGACGCATGCACACACAAGAAGAGGGGCACATTGTTGAAAGCCCGCAAACACCAGACCGAGTAAAATGCAGAGAGAGTAAAGAACATTCTCAATCCGGTATGGGCAACAGACTGACTGCTCTCTTCGAATTGCTTTGCCAGTCCCGCTTCGAGGGGCCTCAAAGGGTCCCCCATGCAATGCTCAAAATATTTACGGGAAACGTGCAAACACCGAATCAGCGTACAGTAAATCCATAGTACAATCACCCCTCATAGTTGTCACACCCACCACCACAGTCTCACCTCCATCACAGCCTCACCTCCACCCCCAATTATCGTCACACCTATTACAAGAGTCTCACTGCACACATCACCACCCTGCACACATCACCACCACGTTTCTCTCACCTCCACACACTGCATGTTGGCGATGCACCCCCCTCGCACCAGGTCCAGCCAGTTGGCCTCGTACCATGCACCTGTGACCTGTCTATCAACGCACCCCAAGTATCATCGCCACACTCTTACCTCCACACACTGCATGTTGGCAATGTACCCCCCTCGCACCAGGTCCAGGCAGGTGAGGTTGGTGAGGGACCTGCTACTACTAGTGCAGGTCCAGGCAGGTGAGGGACCTGACCTGCTACTACTAGTGCAACGCAACGCAGCCCTGCCTGACCTCCAAACCCCACCCACTACAGCCAGTCTGTTTATGTCATTCACACCCCCTTCTCACCTCAACGCATTGCACGTTGGCGATGTATCCCCCTCGCACCAGGTCCAGCCAGTTGGCTTCATACAGCTTGGGACCGATCAGGAAATTGAGATCCGCAATCAGCTCGTCCTCTCTCACCAGCGTGGCTGGGAGTGACGTCGGGGGAAGTGGAAGAAAAAGGGAGAGGAAAGACATGACGTGCCAATGCCAATGCCAATCAGAAAGTTGAGATCTGCTACCAGCTCGTCCTCCCGCACAAGGGTGGCTGGGGAGAAAGGAGAGGGGAGGGGAAGGGGGGGGAGGGGAGGAGGTGAGTCCAGTTGGCTTCATACAGCTTGGGACCGATGAGGAAGTTGAGATCTGCGATCAGCTCGTCCTCTCTCACGAGGGTGGCTGAGGAGGGAGGGGAGCGGGGAAGGGAGTAGAGGGGAGGGGAGGAGAGGAGGTGAGTCCAGTTGGCTTCGTACAGCTTGGGACCGATCAGGAAGTTGAGGTCAGCAATCAGCTCGTCCTCTCGCACGAGAGTGGCTGACGGGAGCGGAGGGGCAAAGACGGGAAGGGGGTTTTGGAGGAAATTGGGGTCTGGTCTCAGCTCGCTCTCGCACCAGGTCCAGCCAGTTGGCTTCATACAGCTTGGGAGCGATCAGGAAGTTGAGGTCTGCGACAGCTCGTCCTCTCTCACCAGAGTGGCTGTGGGGGGAGGGGGGAGGACGAAACAGGGGAAGGACGAAACGGGGAAAGGGAGAATGATTGTGAAGAGGGAGGGGAAGAAGGAACGGCTATCAGTTAGCTTATCACTGCTGATGAGGAGATTAAGATCTGCAATCAGCTCGTCCTCTCGGACAAGAGTGGCTGACGGGACGGGACGGGCGGGGGGAGGGGAGGACAGAGGAGCGGAGGGGAGGGGAGGGAAGGGGAGGGGAGGGGAGGGGAGGGGAGGGGAGGGGAGGGGAGGGGAGGGGAGGGGAGGGGAGGGGAGGGGAGGAGAGGGGAGAGGAGAGGAGGGAAGGGGAAGGGAGGAGACGAGTCAGCGGAAGTCAAGAGGAAGTTGAAAGCCTTCTATCAGCTCGTCTTGAGCACACGAGTGGCTGGGGGAGGAGAGGAGAGGAGGGGAGGGGAGGTGATGCACATGACCTTCAATGCTTCCTTCCTTGTCTGGTTTGACTTGTGTTGACGCACCCGTTGACTGGTATGGCATCAATGCACTTTTTGACTTGTTGACTCAGCTGTTGACTTGCGTTGACCCACCTGTCAATCCCAGCTTGCAGTGCGACTTGGTGATGCCAATGACCTTCCGGAACATCTGAGCTGGCACCACGTGCACCTGACACGTCAGCATGGGGGGCACATGCAAAAAAAACACATGTCAAAGATGTAGTGTGATACAAGGAAGCAGGTGACTTGCAGTCTGCAGACACAATGGAATTTTGCAGACATATATTGGCAGTGAGCATGAGACGAGACGAGAGAGGCATGTCAACCCCCTTAAACATATGAACGTACTCTCTGCCCCCTCCACAACCCCCCCCTTCCTCTCCCCTCCCCCCCTCCCTCCACACCCTATTACATCACATCACATCCCGCTCAACCGCACTGCACCTCGTCCATGAGCAGCAAGCCCCACTCGCGCGATCGGATCGCTTCGATGATTTTATTCGATTCTGCCGACCGCTTTCCTCCGAAAGCAATCATGTTGAACGTGGTTACCACGATACCCGCATCGCCCTGCGCAAGGGGGGGGGGGGGGAGGGGGAGGGGGGGGAAGGACAACCAATGAGGAGTTGCATAAGTGTGCAATTTATTGGTCCAGAAATTAATATGGTCTCAAAGATGAATCTGGGGGCTTGAGGATTCTTAGTTGCGCATATCAACACCCACCGGCATACACATGTAACTGAACTGGGACATCTCCTTGGTATCAGACGTAAATCACCTGGGCCTGGAACATGTCCTTATATCGGATGTGAACCAGGAAATATGCTGATCCTTGATAGTAGACCACATCTTGAACTGCATCTGCATGCACCACTGGTCCACCGACACTGCGTCTGTCCTTTGACAGACTAGACTCAAGAATAGAATCGAATGACCTTACTCGCATGCACATGGAATGGAACCCACATGCGACTCACCTGGAACATCTCCTTGGTATCAGAGGTGAATCGGGAGATATGCTGGTCTTTAATTGTGGACCACATCTTGAACTGCATGCACCACACCACTGGTCCACTAATACTGTATTGACCCTTTGTGCATATGCTATGCCCCAACTCACTTGGAACATCTCTTTCGTGTCAGACGTGAATCTTGAGATATGTTGATCTTTGATCGTAGACCACACCCACCCACACTGCGTCTGCTGGTCCACCCACTGGTCCACCCACCCACACTGCGTCTGCTTTTTGAGGGGCATAAAAAACATTCACATGCACGCACCTCACATAGGACTTACTGGCATACCAATATGTAATTACCTGGAACATCTCCTTGGTATCAGAGGTAAATCGGGAAATATGTTGATCCTTGATTGTAGACCACATCTTGAACTGCATGCACCACTGATCCACCGACACTGCGTTGGTCGCCAGGCACAGGCAGCTCTTGCGAATGCGCACCGCTGCTGATACCCCCACCAGGGACTTTCCCGCACCACAGGGAAGGACTATGATGCCTGAACGCGCTCGACCTGAGTAGAGGAGAGGAAGGGAGGGGGGAGGGGAAACAAGAATTATGTCGGCAGCCACCACTGGTCCACCGACACTGCGTTGGTCGCCAGGCACAGGCAGCTCTTTCTGATTCGAAACGCTGCTGACACGCCCACCAGGGACTTGCCTGCTCCGCATGGCAACACTATATGCCTGAGCGCGCTCGACTTGAGGCACGAAGGGGAGGGAGAAGGGAGAGGATAAGCAGAGAAGAATGAATGAGATGAGAGTTCTGTCAGTGGGCACTGTGTTGTTGGTCGCCAATAATGCTGTTGCCAGGCACAGGCAGCTCTTTCTGATGCGCACCGCTGCTGATACCCCCACCAGCGACTTGCCTGCTCCGCACGGCAACACTATGATGCCTGAGCGCGCTCGACCTGAGTGGGAGAGAGGAAGAGAGGGGGGGATGGAAGACAGGAGTGTTGGTGCCAGGCACAGGCAGCTCTTTCGAATGCGCACCGCTGCTGACACGCCCACGAGGGACTTGCCTGCACCGCACGGGAGCACTATAATGCCTGAACGCGCTCGACCTGAGTGGGAGAGGGAGGAGAGGAGAAAAAGAATGAAATGGAAGTTCTGTCAGTGACACTGCGTTGGTCGCCAGGCACAGGCAGCTCTTTCGAATGCGCACCGCTGCTGAGACCCCCACGAGGGACTTGCCTGCTCCACAGGGAAGCACTTTGATGCCTGAACGCGCTCGACCTGAGTGGGAGAGAGGAAGACAGACAGAGGAGAATTTGCTGCCAGGCACAGGCAGATATTTTTTGATTCGCTTTGCACTGCTGTTGACATGCACACGAGGGAGGAAGTGTCACACAAGACATGTCATGTTGATGCCTGTGCTTGTAGACATGGGAGCACTATGATGCCTGAGCATGATTGCAGGTATCGTGGTCACCACGATCAACAACCGACCGCCTCTCAGCTTACCATTGCCAAACATCTTGCTGAGACTCTTCTCTTGGTAGGGACGCAGCTGAGCATGTGGCTTTAACTCCACATCCACGTCTGGATTCACCTGCAGAGATGCAAGCCATGCAAGAGAAGAGACACATGTGTGCGTGCGTGCATGCATGCATGCGTGGATGCATGTGTGCATGGATGCGTGGACACATGTAAAGAATTAACTCCACACCAGTGCTTCACCTACGCTACGCGCATATAACAGTGCCACACCAAAGAAGGTACCATACGACCATGCGACTACGCGACCATGCGACCATGCGACCATGCCATGCAACAAGCATGTCTCAAGATGTCTCACTATTTAAGATTGACCCACACAAAGCAGGCTCGTGGAGCGGGTTACAACAGTACCATGCGACCGTACATGTGTGCATGCATGTGTGCATATGTGCATGTGTGCATATGTGCATGTGTGCATATGTACATGTGTGCATGCATGTGTGCATGCGTGCATGCGTGCATGCGTGCATGCGTGCATGCGTGCATGCGTGCATGCGTGCATGCGTGCATGCGTGCATGCGTGCATGCGTGCATGCGTGCATGCGTGCATGCGTGCATGCGTG